TCTTCTGGCCTGCCCAGCCTTTTTTCACCAGCCTGTCTGTCCCTGTCTCTGAAATCCATCCATTTCCTCTTCCAAGTCTTTGCCAATGAGTGTCATCATGTAGTAGTTTTTTCTTAGCCTCATCTTATCCATTACTTTTTCAACTGAGAGGACTACACCAGCCAGCCCATCTGTGGCCTTTAGCTCAGTATCGCGCCCAGAAGGGTTGGTGTAGCTGCTGGGGGTGGCAGCCACAGGCGGGAGGAGGCAGGGGACTGGATGACTCTGCACTGTCCGCTGGTGGAGAGCACCACACCCACTCGGAGGCGAAGAGTGTGCTGTACTTGAAGCAAAGCAGTCACTCACCAATGGTCATGGATGGAGTTGTTTGCCAAAGAAACATCTGGCCTTTCCCTTTCCCCTGACCGCAGCAGGGAAGAACCTTATCTCCAGCTTGGTTTCCACCTGGGTTTTCTTGTTTGTGTGTTTTTTTTTTGTTTTTAGGAAAGGGCCTGGGACAAGAAATTTGTCATGTAGTTAAATAGGCAAATCTTATTAATCTAGTTTTGTTTGAGAGTTGCTTGTCCATATGATTTTTTTAAAGTCAAGTTTAGTTTTACAAAAACTTTTTCTGAAATTACTTTTGGGGTATTATTTAAAATGAGAGATGTTTTGTAACCCTGTAAAATACATAGGGAATATAACATTCCAGTGTACACAGAAAAGGCAAATTCTTTAATCAAATAAATAGTATTATAAAATGAATTTGTTAGACTCTTATGCTTTGGTGTCTGCTTGTGGATTCAGGATAATGTAATGGGATCTAAGATTAAAAATTAATGATGTATATATTTTTAAGAGGAATACTCTCCGAGAGTATTAATTGCCTTTTAATTTATTGTTGAAAGTATTACAGATGTCCCCTCCCCCCATTAACCCTCTCCACCTTGCACCCGCATCTCCTGCACTTGAGTTGCTTTTGAATGAATCTAATACTACTCATGGACTTTTGGTCTTAATTCTTTCGGCAGTTGTAGAATAAGGAAACTGAGGCTTCATCTGTAAAGATAAAGGTTCGTGATATGTGAAGCCTTCTCCTCCCCAGTAGACTGGTAAGAAGTAGCAGGGGTGAGAGGTGAACACCTTGGGCGGTGTTGATAATTCCCTCTGAAGAAGCTTCACTTATTTAACTTAAAAACGAACATCAGTACATTGGGAGGCAAATTATTCTAATGAACAGTAAGTGGAATGAAAAAGGTTTTATCTTAATGGTGAAAGCCAAGATTCTGAATTCTTTCCCCTTAGAAAGTATCTGGTCTAATGTTGCTGAAATGTGGCTTGGCTCTGAGATTGTAACTTTAACCCAATGAAACGAAGCATACCAAACCCATGCCATACCCTGCCTGGCAGTCAGTCCCTCCATGGCAGAAGCGCACTTTTTGGCCTCTTGTGAGGGAGACTGGCACAATAATTAGGTCTGAGCATTATGCTTAATGGAGGAGGCTTGTGGTCCCCCCCCCCCCCCCCCCCCCCCGGTTTAATTCCACAAAGAGGAGGTAAGGGGCACACCTCCATTGTGGTCAGGAGTTTCTTTTTAAATAGATCTGTTACTCAGTTGCTCACAGTAGTTTCAAACCCTAAATCTATTGGCTTGTGCATCTCATGGGAAACTTTGTCCTCCATTAATTTGAAATTGATTTCCAGGGTTGAGATAGAATAGAGTTTCTTAAAAGTCCACCTTTTGCAGGCCTCATTGGAGGAAGACAGGAGAAAATACAAAAAGCCCCCACCCAAAAGGTAATTACAGACATTGTTTCTAGTTAGAATATAATAAATTCCAACTAGGAGCAATGTCTGTAATTACCTACACAGACTTTTTCTAAGGTAGACAAGTGTTAACGATAACTAGTGATAACTCCACATGGGTCTCAGGGCCGCTGAGGAATAGAGCTTGTCTTACAGGCTGTAGAAGAAAGCAAACATTCAGAATCCACTCCCTTTAGTCTGCACCTCTTTCACTGCAACCCTTTCCCCTGCTCACTTTGGGGAATATATTTGCAGCTGTAGAGCTTTCAGTCTGGCAGGTCCACAAGGAGGCCGATTGCTACGCATTGCTCTCACCCAAGGGCAGACAGCATCTCTACAAGTGTCAGTTTCATTTACCCTGGGGAGTTAGTGATGTGGAGGCAAGCCTTTAGGGAAAAGACTACCTTTTTTAAAAATTGATTTATTTTTTTAGCGAGATAGTTTGTTGTTCCACTTATTCATTCACTAGAGGCCCAGCAGTCGTGTTAGGAGGCGCCCCACCTCCCACCGTGCTGGCCAGGACCCTAGCCTGCTGTTTGGTTGTCTGTCTGGTCATTTAGGTCATGACAGCCCCTGGCTTTTTATATATTAGGATTGGACATTGCTCCAACTAACTGAGCCACCCGGCCAGGGGAAGACTCCCTTTCTAAAGGAAGCTGTTGCCCCTCTCTCAAACACAAGAGATAAGCAACCAGACAGTTTTTAGAATCTTGGGTTACTTCTACTACCCCCACCTAAAAGGAAATTTTTGGCCTTGCTTTTCCTACACAGGGGCTACATGGTTATTGAGGGCTTAGTCCGTTCTGGAAAGCTTCCATAGGTGCAGTGCGATAAGACTGATTACCAAAGAGGGGCTGTTTGAAAAAGGCATTCCCAATTCCAGACAATGAGGGAAATGGAAATAGCTCTTGTTCCCCATTCTTTTTCCCAAATGAATGCTTGTTAGGAAGGTCCTAACTTACAGGAGCCACGGAGGTAGGCAAGACCAGTTTCTGTCAGACCCAAATTTCCCACCCTGCTTGGATGTAGCTTCAGGATGAAGTGGGCTGTGTAATTCCGAGGACAAGCTGAGTAGAGAGCTCCTTGCAGCTGCTGAAAAGGTTTGACTTTTCCCCCAACTTGGATGTGGTGAGGGATTACTGGGCATCACACCTTCTCTAATGATACCTGAGTTCAGGATCCAGAGGCCAGAAAAGACCTTTTGGGTAGGGTGTGTACTAGTATCTCCAGGGGTTACTTGCTGTGATGAGCAATCCACTGTTCGGGCTGGAAGGTGAACCATCTGAGAGGAGGGACAGGGTGGGCCATGTGCCAAGCCACTGCTGAGTGAGGAGGGCCTAAAAAACCCTCTCCCTCCACACTCAGCGTGGCCCCGCCCCCGCCTCCACTTAGGAAAGTCTGAAGCATGCTTGGAAAGTTTTCTGTTTTTCTCTCTTCCTCCCCCTCTGCGAAGCTCCCAGCTGCTCGACCTCTTGCATAACTGAGAGCACTGAGGTTTGATGCACTCCAGATGTGGGGAAGGGTGGGGTGGCCTGTGAGGCGTGGGCCTGAGTCCCCTGAGTGCTCTAACTGTGGGAACTTAGGGCCCTGACAGCAGGAACTGGGACACACTGCACAGCCTTCAGTAGGGGGCCCTGGGCCGGGAGGATAGAGAAAAGCTGATGCTGTTTTAACTCCCTGCCTCAGCACCAGTTGCCTCTGTGGCAGGCGTGATGATTCCGAGATTCCTCCCCACCAAGACTTTCAAGAAGAGCTGGACACTGTGACTTACACGCAAAGCCTCTGAGGTTCCCAGTCTGAGCTCCTCCCTGCAAATGCTGGGTCTTGGCACATAGGACACACAGTTTTTTTTTTTTTTTTTATTAAGGTATTACAAATGTGTCCTCATCCCCCCCATTAACCCCTAACCTCCCCCCCCCCGTCCCCCCAGGACACACAGTTTTGGTTTTTCTTTTTCTCTGACTAGAAGAGTCTGAAAGAGTCTGAAAGTACTCTAGAGTCTGTTATGATCTGTCTCATGTAAGGTGGCCAGAGTCAAAATACTCTCATGAAGCTCCAACATGAAGAGGAATTGGAAGGGGCTCCCCCCGCATCCTAGGGGTGAGCTCTGGCCTCCTGTGTGGGGCCCCTGCTAAAGCTGGCCCTGCCAATGAGTGACCCGAGGTTCCTGCAGGTCAGCCTCCCCTCTGCTCCTGGGTTAGGCAGAGAGGGCACAGACTAAAGCCCATCCCAAAAAAGACAAGTTACGTTCTGCTCCACCCAGCTGCCATTGCTGCCGGCCTTGGGTCTTTCTGCTCCCTCCTGCAGCGTGGGAGAGTCTCAGGGGTCCCTCTGGTGCTGTTAAAGGGGTTCAGTCGAGCTGAGTTCAGCTCCCCAGGGCCTCCCAGTCAGCCTCTTGGGGCAGGAGCTGGCCTTGCCAGGTAAGGATCCACTGTCAGTGTTGGGTTTCGGGGTGGGGGTTGAAGAATGACTTCAGGCTGTTTCTAGGCTACTCTTAGGTGCTTAGACCCCCCTTTTCTCCCTTATTTTCTCCCCTGCTCCTACAGAAACCCAAACTGCTCTGGGATAGCACGCGCAACTGTATTCTACAGCTTGTCTGCCGATTGTCCCCGGGAGGTTGGGGTGGGGGGGGCAACATGAAGCTTGTGTTTTACAGCCTACGTGGCCCTTGCACATGTTTCTTGTGCCGATCTCCAGAGAAACCGTGAAGCCTGATGCGCAGGGTTATCGACCCCACCTACAGCTCTTCACGGTGGGACTTGGAAGAGGGTGAGGATAAGGGGTGACAGGGTCCCCGCAGCAAATGTTCTGGAGAGGGTGCGGAGTACGCTGAAGGGCCGGGACCGGGAGGTTCCCTGGGAGCCCATGGAGATCCAGGCATCTAAGGTTAAAACGGGGAAAGGTGGAGGGGGGCGGGGGAGAGAGAAACTGTCAAAAACACCCTCAGAAGAGCCTTGAAGCCTAGGGTTGGAGAGTGGTCAGAGGGGTGGGGAGGGGAGGGAAGGGTGCGGGGTGGTGGAGAGCCCAGCTGCAGAAAGGAACAAAGCGGTCGCTGTGCAGGCGAGGGTGGGGGTGCTGCTGTGGGAAAGGGGGGGTGGACCTTGGGCTCCGGACCCACAAGGGCGTCTTCTCCCGCTGGCCTAGCCGACCGGACGCGGGCCGGGGGCCGGGGGCGGGGACTAGCCGGAGGGGCGGGGCCGCTCCTTCTCCACCTACTCAGCGGGCTCCCGGGGAAAAGCAACAGCGTCCGGTCTGGGGCCGCGCGGCCTGGCCAGACCCGGGGCCGGCGCGCCCTCTCCTCGAGGTAAGGACACCCTCTCCCCCTACGCCCGCGGGTTCCGCGTGCTGCGCGGGCCCAGGCCTGGCGGAGCCCACAGATAAGCTCTGGGCTGGGGGGCCCGGAAGAAGCCCACGGGGGGGAGGCAGGGGACTGCGTGGGGCGAAGGGGCTCTGTGGGGAGTGGGCTCTGCCCCCCGCCCGCGCCGCCGCCAGGGGGAGCCCTAGCGCTCTGCCCCAGGAGGGGCGCTGGACCCACCCCGTCCAGACGAGCCGACGACACTCGGGTCCCTTCAGTCTGAGCCCCGCCGCCACCCCGCTGTTGCCCACGGCAGGACTGAGAGCCCTGCACCGGGAGGGGGCCCCCTGGGGCATCTCCGCTCCCATTCCGGTCGGGCCGCCCCGAGGGACCAGGAGGGGATGCGAGGCCGCTCGGACGGAGGCTGGGGGTCCGGGAGGGACTCCTGGGTGGACTCAGGACATGGGGAGCACGTCTGGGACCTCCCGGCCCCCCCGAGGCCCCGCGTTCTTTGGCGTCCGGGAGGCGGGACGGGGCACCGGGAGAGCCCCAGCGCCTGGCTACGCGCGGCCCGGATCCTGTCCCCGCGGGGTTCCCGCTCCGAGGAGGGTCAGGGCCTTCCGCCCGGCGGGGGCGAGCGGGGACCCGGGCGCCGGGCGCGGCTGCCTTCGGGTCCGTTAGCTCAGCGGTGCCGACGCTGCCCGAGGCTGAGTCATCGCGGCGGCCACACAGGCGGCTCCCACACGTCAGAGGTCCGCCCGCGCCCCGCGCCGGCACCCACGCGCGCCCGGTCTCTCTCGGCCCGGGCCGCGTGGAGCCCCCTGCACCCCGCGCCCACGCAGTCCCCGCGGCCCTCGGACACGCGCGCCCCTCCCTGCAGCTGCTCCGCGGGGCGCGGGGGGGTCTGGGCCGCGTGTCCCCCGCGCGCAAACAAGCGGCGCCTTCTCCTCGCTCCGCAGAGAAAGGCCGCTTGTCCCGGGCGGGCGGCGCCCAACACTGCGGCCTTGTCCCACCTGGCGGCCCCCGCCCGGGACGTGGGAGAGGGCGCTTGCCCGCCCGCCCGCCCGCCCGCGGCAATGAGGCCGGGGCCCCGCCTGCTGGCGCCTCCCCACGGCGGGGACCCCTGGCCGCCGCGGCCTCTGCCTTCCAGCCCCCGCGCCCCTCCCCGCGGTCCCCTCGGTGCTTCGGCCGCGGCCCAGACCCTCGGGGACCCCTCCCGCTCAGTCTCCCCACCTCCTGCCCCCCTCGCGCGCTCCTGTCCCGCTTTCCCTCCACGCACCTTCCCGCCCCGGGCTCCCAGCCTCAGTTTCCTCCTTTCCCTCGCCCTCCTCGGGGCGGCGGCGGCGCACGGGCCGGGAGGCTGGGGACCGGGCCGGGCGCGGAGCCTGTGGGGCCCGGAGGCGGCAGTGGCCCGGCCAGAGCGGCACCTGCTGGCGCCCGGCCTCGCCCACGGGGGTCACTCGCGGACGCCCAGCCTCTGCGCCCCGCGCCCCGCCCTCCCCGCCCGCCCGGAGCCCCCGCCGCTGGGGCTTTTTGGCCGCGAGGAGAGGCGGGGTTTCCCCGAAAGGCCCGGAGGCTCGGGGGCGGGGCGGGTGGGTGTACCGCCGGGTCCGGACGGCCCGTCGGAGGGAGGCCGGTCGGCCCCCCGGGCCCCGGGGTGCGGTCCGGGGGCCCCCAGGTGGCGGCTCCCCGCCCTCGTCAAAGCCCCGCCTGCCGAGCTCGGATGCGTGGGCCCTGGGGTACCTTTCCTCCCTCCGCACCTGACCAGGTGTCCCGCCGGCCACAGCCGCGCACCCCCATGCGCCCATCTTCCCTGTGCGCCTCTCTCCCTACCGCTCCCTCTCCTCTCCTCTCCTCTCCTCTCCTCTCCTCTCCTCTCCTCTCCTCTCCTCTCTCCTCCCCTCCCCTCCCCTCCCCTCCCCTCCCCTCCCCTCCCCTCCCCTCCCCTCCCCTCCCCTCCCCTCCCCTCCCCTCCCCTCCCCTCCCCTCCCCTCCCCTCCCCTCCCCTCCCCTCCCCTCCCCTCCCCTCCCCTCCCCTCCCCTCCCCTCCCCTCATTCCCTTCTCTTCTCGCCTCGCCCTGGTTCCCTCAGCCTCACCCCTTCACAATCTTTATCTTCACTTGAAAAGAAATTTAAATCTATTTTTATTGATTTCAGAGAGGAAGGGAGAGGGAGAGAGAGAGAGAAACATCCATGATGAGAGAGAATCATGGGTCGGCTGCCTCCTGCACGAAGAGCAAGCCTGGAACCCGGGCACATGGGCTCGAACCCGGGACCGTTCCGTTCGCAGGCTTAGACATCACTGAGCCAAACCGCTAGGGCGTTCACTTGAGAATTTTTGGTTTAAATAAGCGAACATACCCACAGCCGCCTCGCAAGGTAATAGTGACACGTTGGACGGATGAAGAAACCGAGGCGCACAGAGGTGAAGGGACTTGTGCAAGGTCATGAAACACAGGAATAACTTTATATTTGTATGTTGTTTATAGTGCTCTGCACCTCACAGCGTCTCATTTGATAAAAACCTGAATCTCCAGACAGTCTTTTTCTAAACTAACAGTTTTATGGAGGTGTGATGTATATACCATAAGATTCACTTAATTTAAGTGCACATTCGATTATTTTTAGTATATTTACAGAGTTGCACAGCCATCATCACGATTTAATTTTAGAGTATTCCTATTGGGCAAGAAAGAAATCTTGTGTCCATTTATTTATTAGTCCCTCCCCATTCTAGGCAAGCACTAAATCCCTACCTTTTTAAAAATCATTATTCCAGTTTTATAGAGAATGACCTGACAGAGACAAGTTAAGTAACTTGTCCAAGATCTCACAGCTAATAAATGATAAAGAACAGGATTAGCCCGGCCGGCGTGGCTCAGTGGTTGAGCATCGACCTATGAACCAGGAGGTCAGGGTTCAATTCCCAGTCAGGGCACATGCCCAAGTTTCGGGCTGGATCCCCAGTGTGGGGCGTGCAGGAGGCAGCCGATCCATGATTCTCTCTCATCAATGAGGTTTCTATCTCTCTCTCTCCCTCTCCCTTCCTCTCTGAAATCAATAAAAAATAAATATACACATATATAAAAGAACAGGGTTAGATGCTAAATGATGTGCCTTTCCCTCACCTTAATGTTTTGTTTTCCTTACCCCTGCTTTTAGAGAAATTACCCATTCTCAACCCATGGTCTCTTGCCTCTCCTCCCGCCCAGAATGCCGACGGGTTTCCCTGAGTTGAGAGTAACAGTATGGCACCCTCCGTCCCTGGAAAGTGTTTCCTGTCACCAGATGCTCTGGGAGGTGCCATGCCAAGTTGGCCTTGGTGCAGGTTAATGGCCTTTGCCTTCCCTCTCCCCAGGCAGACTTGGGGTGGGCCCAGGCGCTGTTCTGGCCTGGCCTCTCTTCCCCCAGCTGGGGTGGAGATGGTGGCCGAGATGACACCTGGCAGGTGGAGGCTGGGAGGGTGAAATTGGTAACTGCCCTCGGGCCCACTGCCGGGGCAGACCCTCCCTGGAGTGTGGCTCCTGCCCCGACTGACTTCTCTCGGCACCCGGAGAAGCTGGCAGAGAGTGGAGGGGATCCCGTCGGCAGCCATGTTCTCCTCAGCTTCCCAGGACATGTCAGCAGCAAACACGTCCTTCCATCAGCAAGCTGGTCGAGGGACGGGCACTGGGGCGCACATTAGTCCCCAGAGGTGCTCCTTCCTGTTCTCAGGTACCAGACATGTGACCAGAGAGGAAGAGAGGGTGGGCTCTGGAGGCTCGGGCTCTGGGTCTATTTCCCGCCTGGCCCTAAGGACCTACGCTTCCTACGGCACCAACTCATTTCCGGCCCCGAGTCCTGTATTCCCAGTATTAGTCACCACTGAGGTGTCTGTGTGCTTTTCTGATTCCGCTGGGGGAGATTGCTTTCTGGAGAAGAGGGTGCAGGAGTTGAGACTTACAGAGATAGAAAGAATGGTTGAGTTTTCCTTTTTCTTTTTTTCTTCTAAAGATATCTTTCTTGATTTTAGAAAGGAAGGGAGAGGGAGAGAGAGAGAGATAGAAACATCATTGACGAGAGAGAATCACTGATCAGCTGCCTCCTGCACGCCCCACACTGGGGATCAAGCCCACAACCGGGCCTGTGCCCTGACTGAACCGTGACCTCCTGGTTCATAGGTCAACGCTCAATCACTGAGCCACACCGGCCGGGTGAGTTTCCCCAGCAAATATTTATTAACGTTCTGGTTGAATTTTCTTGTTTCCTTTAAGAAAAGATCCTGGCCTTCGCCGGTAGCTCAGCTGGTTAGAAGGTTGTCCAGATACTTGAGGTTTCAGGTTCAATCCCAGGTCAGCACATACAAGAATCAACCAATGACTGCATAAGTGGGACAGCAAATCTCAATTTCTCTCTCTCTCTCTCTCTCTCTCTCTCTCTCTCTCTCTCTCTCTCTCCCTCTCTCTCTTTCCTTCCCTCCTTCCCTCCCTCCCTCCCTCTCTCTCTCTCTCTTTATTTCTCTCTCTTCCTTCCTCTCCCTCAAATCAATAAATAAAGGTTAAAAAAAAAGAAAAAGAAAGAGAAAAGATCCTAATGAGGCCACCTGGGAAAAGAGACAAAAGGAGGAGAAAGGGGGGAGCTCCTCGCTCAGCCCTGCTGCCCACCTGGTGCCCTCTGGCTGCCAGTGTCCTGGGAGGGGCTCCTTGGGTTCCCCTGCTCCCACTCAGGTAGATTTTCCCACTCTGCTTCCGCTCCGGTGTCTGAGGGTCCTCAGCGGCCACAACCTGGTGCTGGGTGTCCGCGGTAGGGAAGCACAGAAATGCAGGCTGGGCCTTCTAGGGCTCTCTGTGGTTCTGGGGGCAAGGGCCAGGCCTGGTGTGGGGCGGGAGCCCTGCTGTGGCTGGAGATACATTGCCCCCCCCCCCGCCCCCCCCGCGTCTCCTGCAGCATCAGGAGCTGGGAGTGAAGATGGCAGTGCCGCCCGCCACAGAGCCCGCCACAGAGCCTGCCCCTTCCCCTTTCCTGCCCTGCCTCCACCTCACCTGCTGTCTGCTGTGTCCCCAGGATCTCGAGAGATCAAGACCATGGACACGCTCACCAGAAACCAGGTGGGCCCTGGATGCAAGACCCCAGCAATGGTGCAGGTGAGCTGGGTCGGCCCTGGGGCAAGAGGGCTGTTGTTGAAGATGAGTTCGGCTCCTCTGTCCACCCGTGGTCCCAGCCCAAGAATGAGAACAGCAGTTCCTCTCTTGCTTCCCACGCCCAGAGCCTGTCAACAGCCAAGTCTTTATCTGAACCGGGTTAATGGGTTTACCCAGAAAATACCCTTTGAAAGCCAGGAAGGGTTTTCAGTTGGACTCTGAGCTGTATTTCCCTCCTTAATCCCGCCTCTGCCCTCTCATGATTTAGTTTAACAGAGACAAGCACTGGCCAAGTGGATTGCCACAGACAAGTCTGTGAACTTACCTTTTTTTTTTCTGTTAATCCTCACCCAAGGATATTTTTCCATTGTTCTTTTAGAGAGAGTGAAAGAGAGAGGGAGAGACAGAGAGAAACATCGATGTGAGAGAAACACATCAATTGGTTGCCTCCTGCATGCACCCTGACCAGGGCCAGAGCTGGGGAGGAGACTGCAACCAAGGTATGTACCCTTGATCAGAATCGAACCCAGGACCCTTTGGTCCTCAGGCTGATGCTCTATCCACTGAGGCAGGGCATGCCGGACAAGCCCTGATTGGCCCTCCTCTCCAGTACCCCCTCCTCTCACCCAGGGCCTCCCCACTCCCCTTACTTTCTCCGTGTTTCTGTCTTAATAGACAAAAGGGGCAGTTAAGCCAAGACTTGAGATAAATCTGGTGGGACGAGCTAGTGGCCTAGATTCAGATCTAATGACACTATGGTGGAATAGTGCTCTGTGCAAGATTGTGTGCTAACCCTCTCCCCACCTCAGAGTCCTTTGGAGAGAGTGAGGCCAGCGAGGGTGCTGGAGGGAGTGCGGCTGGGCGCTGAGGTCTGGCCAGGGGTCTCACCTCCCGCCCGCCCTGCCCGCAGAAAGGCCCCTTGGACCTGATTGAGACGGGCAAAGGGCTGAAGGTGCAGACGGACAAGCCCCACCTAGTGAGCCTGGGCAGCGGGCGGCTCAGCACAGCGATCACCCTGGTGCCGCTGGAGGAAGGTAAGTCAGGCCCCTCTGTCCGTACATCCCTGCCCTGGGGCCCAGGCATGTGCTGGAGCCCTTCTGCTATCTGCTGGCAGTGGTCAGCTCCCCCAAATGGGAGGCGGTGCCACCCCCCAGTTTGCTTCTGGCGTCTGCCTCCCGACGGCCTGCCCCCTCTGGTTGATAACCTGGCTCCATGACAAGGATTAGAGATCCTTTAGACACAAGGAGGAGCGCGCTGAAACAGGAGAGCACAGTGCTCTTGGCAACCGGGATGGCCCAGGAGCGAGGGGCCCGCGCCCGGGCGGTGCCTGGCATGGGAGCAGGCACCAGTGCAGAAGGGAGAGATGGACGTAGGGGCAGAGCTCCCATGCAAGATAAGGCCCTGGCACAGCCCTGCACATCTCGGCGTCCTCTTCCCTCCTGGTTGCACTGGTTGCCTGGGTGATGCGACATTCCCCACATTCTGCGAATACCAGGCCTGGGGGCTCTGCCAGGGGAGGGTCTGCGCAGGCAGAAGCAGTGAGGGGAGAGGCCGCACTGGAGAGAGAGGGAGTGAGGGAGGGCAAGGGCTGCAGGTGGCAGAAGGAGGGAGAGAAGGAGAGAAGGAAACTTAGAAGAAAAGAGAGGGGAGGATGATGAAGGAGATGACCAGCTGGGTGGGGGGCGGGGTGCCTAAGGAGGGTGTGCAGGAAAGAAGTGCCCTTCTCTGCTCGGCGTGGGGTCTGGATCCTGCTGTGCCCTCTGGGTCCCATCTTTGGTCCAGACTTTTCTCTGCCTGAGAAGAGCTCCTACCACAGACTTTCCCCCACGCAAAGGAGCCCAAAGGGACAGTGGGGCAGGGACCCTTCCTGGAGTGGGAGGTGGAAGCCCATTTCCTTCACAGTCCTCCTTGCCCTGTCTGCCTCCTGGGGTGGGCAAACCCTCTGACTCAGTTTGCCTCCTGTCTTTAGGGAGAACGGTGATTGGCTCTGCGGCCAAGGACATTGCCCTGCAGGGGCCGGGCCTGGCTCCCGAGCACTGCTACATAGAGAACCTGCGGGGCACCCTCACCCTCTACCCGTGCGGCAATGCCTGTGCCATTGACGGGCTCCCTGTCCGGCAGCCCACCCGGCTCACTCAGGGTAAGTGACACCTAGCAGAGGGGGTCCTGGTTTAAAAGCTTGTGCGTGACAGGCGCAGGAGAAGCCTGCAGGGTGGTTGCCATGGTAACTGCCCTGTTGGAGGTGGGGTGTTCAACTGCATCTGATGTGCCCGAACAACAGCCCAGACCCCGACTCTGGCAGCCAGACTTGTCTTCATCCTGCTTTTCTTCTCTGGCCACCCTCACCCTTCCTCCCTCCGCCCTCGGGAGAGAAGCGAAGCCCGTTCCTGCGATCACAGGGCATGGGGAGCCTGGTGGTGGTCGCCAGTGGTTGTTAGGCGAGAGCCTTCAGAGCAGTGTGGGGGCACAAGGGCACTGTCCCGGATGCCAGGGGGAGCTGTGCTCTGGGAAGCTGGAGAGGTGGGGAGAGGAGGACACCCCCGACAGGGATGGGGAAGGGCGAAGTCTGGGGACATGCCCACTCCTGTTAAAAAAATGTCCCCTAGGCAGTCTGGCTTAGTGGATAGAGCATCAGCTGCGGACTACAGGGTCCCAGGTTCGAATCCCGTCAAGGGCACGTACTTCAGTTGCAGGCTCCAGCCCCAGTGGGGGCACGTGCAGGAGGCAGCCATTCAACGTGTCTCTCTCTCATTGACGTTTCTCTCTGTCTCTCCGTCTCCCTTCCACTCTCTCTAAAAATCAATGAAAAAGTATCCTCAGCCCTAACCGGTTTGGCTCAGTGGATAGAGCGTCGTCCTGAGGACTCAAGGGTCCCAGATTCCATTTCCGTCAAGGACATGTACCTTGGTTGCGGGCACATCCCCAGTAGGGGTCTGCAGGAGGCAGCTGATCGATGTTTCTCTCTCATCGATGTTTCTAACTCTCTATCCCTCTCCTTTCCTCTCTGTAAAAAATCAATAAAATATATTTTAAAAAAAGAAAAAGAAAAAGTATCCTCAGGTGAGGATTAACAACAATACCAAAAAAGAAAAAAAATGTTGACAGTAGCTTTGGGGTCATGAATATGGTTAGCACCCTGCTTCCCAAAGCAATAGGCCATTCTTTGTGTGAGCTGGCTTTGGAAACTGGACCCCAGTTACTATGGTGACCAGCAGACCAGGAAGGGGTTGGCCCAGGTGGCACTTGGACAGAACCAGTGTGTTTGCCCTGGGCATCAGTGGAAGGGAATGAGAAAAGCAGGTGTGGATGGGGTAGAGGTGGGGTTCGCAGGAGGCTGTGAGCTTTGGCTGACCTGGCTCTGAGCAGGACTGGTGTCCTGGAACCACTTTCTGGGGACTCTCCCCTCCGACCAGCTGGAAGCTCCTTTGCAGTGGAACCCCTCTGTGCCCCTCTCTCCTCTGTGCTCACTCCTCAGGGGCTCTAAATGCTCCTCCCCTCACAGCTGACCCAGGAGACCCAGCCTGGCCCTCCTCCCTTCTTCCTGCCCTTGGGCGTGTGTTGGGGGACAGTGACTTCGGGAGCAGGCCCAGCAGCAGCAGCAGCAGGCAAGCCTTGTGTCCTCCGGGGCTCCCGCAGTCTGACTGGATGAGAGGAGGAGCCCCATGGATTGGGACTTTGGCGGTGATGCCGTCTGATAGTCTTCAGTCTCAAAGAGAGCATCTTCCCAAGACCTGGGCGCCTGGAAGTGAGACCGAGCAGCAAGGGGAGGCAGGAGCAGAGCTCGGAGGAGGCGAGAGAAAGCCCAGCCCTTGCTCCCCAGCTCCCAACCCCTCACACTCATGGGCAAGAACATCCCCCTGTGTGGTGAGCGGGTGGAGGAACGGAGGCCCCGTCTGGCCAGTGCCTCATTTAGTTTCCTGAGAGGAGGGAGGGCCTGGGCCCAGATGGAATTCTCAGGCATTTCCTGTGACCCCCATGACCCCCAACTCTTCTGTAGCCAAAAGCCTACCCTGCCAATTATATACCCTCCCACTCTCTTCTGACCCCAACCCCCTTCCCTTTTGCTCCCCCCATCCCTACAGCCTTCTTGTCCGGGCTTGCCTGTCCCAGGAGCTGGGCAGCCGGGGGAGGGGGAGGCAGAGGCACAAAGGAATGGGTGTTCTTCTCCCCAGCACCCCCTCCCCGGGCTCCAGGCGCTGAGGGTTTCCTTGTCTCATCTCTGGAGCAAGGCACCCAGCCCGCCCTGCCTGGCCCCACTCCGGACATTCTTGGGAGTGCGTTTCCCTGGAAACTGGGGGGCGCGGGGGTGGCGTGTTCTCTGTGTGTCTGTGTAACGGGTGTGTTTATGCATCTCCGGATGTTTGTGGCTCTGGGCTTACGTAGCTCTGTGTTTGTGTCTTTCCTTGTGTTTATAGATGAGGGTGTTCAAGTGGGGAACAGGAGTGAACTTGGGACAGATGGCACCAAAGTGTCCATGTGTGTGTTCCTATGTGTACGTGAGGACCCACTGGCCACATGCCTATCTGGGTGTATGCGCAAGAGGATCACTTTCCCTGTTTGTTCCCCGATCTAGCCTTGGTGAGGGTACCCTCATCTTTGAAAAAGAGAAGGCTACCCTAGAAATAACAAGGAGCCCGCTCTGGCTGGGCCAGGCCTGAGGTGCATCATTCCGGGCACTGTGCCCAGCTATTTAGGGTGGCACACACCATGCCTGGCAGACATGGCAGGGACAGGCTCTCCCAGCAGGAGTATGCCTGGGCCACGGGTGGGGGTGGTGAGCAGGAAGCAGATGCCAGCCTTTAGCCAGAGCTTTGGACATGGGAGCCTGGAGTGAGGGAGCCAGGAAGATCCTGATTCCACTCCCATTCCCCGGGAAGTTGGGCACATCCTACACTGCCCTCTTCTCTACAGAGCAGGAGGTGGAGCTGGGAATAGGACCAGGAAATGAGGAGGGATCTCCATCTGGGGCTAGGCTGCCCTACCCTGGGACCCAGGGCCAGGCCACATGAAAGCTCTGTGAGGAGACCGAGGAGGGGAGCCCCTCGGAAGCCACACACTCAGGGCCAGGCTGTCTGGACAGCAGGCCCCAGCCACTCCCAGCTTTGCTGCAGCCCAGCCGTGTCTCCCGTCTCCTTCCCTCCCTACGGCCCTCACTGCTGGGCAGGGGCCTGTGTGAGGCCAGCCTGGGCGGCGCCCTGGGACATGGCTGGGGAGCCACACTCCTGGGTTATCTCGCTGCCTCCCTCTGGGATCCAGGACACTGAGCCTTTTCCTCTCCCACCCAATGGTCAGTTATTCCTTCTGTGAAATGGGATTGAAGTCTCCAACTGATAAAGATCTTGACTCATGAAGCTCAAAGGAAGAAGAGAAAAAGCAAAGGCTGGGAGCTCCCCACTTCTTGTGCCTGCCTCCTCCCTCTTTCTCCCGCAGCGGGCACCCTCCCAGTCGCCTGGGTCTGCCCCTCTGGCCATCACAGTTTCCAGACGGATGAGTCACTCTTCCTGAGGAGATGTTTAAAGGCTTCCCTTTCTGTGCATTTGCCCTACATGGTCCTTCCTTCTTCCTTCAGAAGGGGAATCAGACACATGTGCACATGTGAGCGCATGCATGTGTGTGAGTGCGTGGGTGTAGTGTGTGGGTGTGAGCGTAGTGTGTGCATGTGAGTGCCTATGAGTGTAGTGCGTGGGTGTGAGCGTAGTGTGTGCATGTGAGTGCGTATGAGCGTAGTGCGTGGGTGTGAGCGTAGTGTGTGCATGTGAGTGCCTGTGAGCGTAGTGTGTGGGTGTGAGTGCATATGAGTGTAGTGTGTGCTGTGAGCGTGTGGGTGTGCATGTGAGTGCCTGTGAGCGTAGTGTGTGGGTGTGAGCGTAGTGTGTGCATGTGAGTGCCTGTGAGCGTAGTGTGTGGGTGTGAGCGTACTGTGTGCATGTGAGTGCCTATGAGTGTAGTGTGTGGGTGTGAGCGTACTGTGTGCATGTGAGTGCCTATGAGCGTAGTGTGTGGGTGTGAGCGTAGTGTGTGCATGTGAGTGCCTATGAGTGTAGTGTGTGGGTGTGAGCGTAGTGTGTGCATGTGAGTGCCTATGAGTGTAGTGCGTGGGTGTGAGCGTACTGTGTGCATGTGAGTGCCTATGAGCGTAGTGTGTGGGTGTGAGCGTACTGTGTGCATGTGAGTGCCTATGAGCGTAGTGTGTGGGTGTGAGCGTAGTGTGTGCATGTGAGTGCCTGTGAGCGTAGTGTGTGGGTGTGAGCGTAGTGTGTGCATGTGAGTGCCTATGAGCGTAGTGTGTGGGTGTGAGCGTAGTGTGTGCATGTGAGTGCCTGTGAGCGTAGTGTGTGGGTGTGAGCGTACTGTGTGCATGTGAGTGCCTGTGAGCGTAGTGTGTGGGTGTGAGCGTACTGTGTGCATGTGAGTGCGTGTGAGCGTAGTGTGTGGGTGTGAGCGTACTGTGTGCATGTGAGTGCCTGTGAGCGTAGTGTGTGGGTGTGAGCGTACTGTGTGCATGTGAGTGCCTATGAGCGTAGTGTGTGGGTGTGAGCGTACTGTGTGCATGTGAGTGCCTGTGAGCGTAGTGTGTGGGTGTGAGCGTACTGTGTGCATGTGAGTGCCTATGAGTGTAGTGTGTGGGTGTGAGCGTAGTGTGTGCATGTGAGTGCCTGTGAGCGTAGTGTGTGGGTGTGAGCGTAGTGTGTGCATGTGAGTGCCTATGAGCGTAGTGTGTGGGTGTGAGCGTACTGTGTGCATGTGAGTGCCTGTGAGCGTAGTGTGTGTGTGTGAGCGTACTGTGTGCATGTGAGTGCCTGTGAGCGTAGTGCGTGGGTGTGAGCGTACTGTGTGCATGTGAGTGCCTGTGAGCGTAGTGTGTGGGTGTGAGCGTACTGTGTGCATGTGAGTGCCTGTGAGCGTAGTGTGTGGGTGTGAGCGTACTGTGTGCATGTGAGTGCCTGTGAGCGTAGTGTGTGGGTGTGAGCGTACTGTGTGCATGTGAGTGCCTGTGAGCGTAGTGTGTGGGTGTGAGCGTACTGTGTGCATGTGAGTGCCTGTGAGCGTAGTGTGTGGGTGTGAGCGTAGTGTGTGCATGTGAGTGCCTGTGAGTGTAGTGTGTGGGTGTGAGCGTACTGTGTGCATGTGAGTGCCTGTGAGTGTAGTGTGTGGGTGTGAGCGTACTGTGTGCATGTGAGTGCCTGTGAGTGTAGTGTGTGGGTGTGAGCGTACTGTGTGCATGTGAGTGCCTGTGAGCGTAGTGTGTGGGTGTGAGCGTACTGTGTGCATGTGAGTGCGTATGAGCGTAGTGTGTGGGTGTGAGCGTACTGTGTGCATGTGAGTGCCTGTGAGCGTAGTGTGTGGGTGTGAGCGTAGTGTGTGCATGTGAGTGCCTATGAGCGTAGTGTGTGGGTGTGAGCGTACTGTGTGCATGTGAGTGCCTATGAGTGTAGTGTGTGGGTGTGAGCGTACTGTGTGCATGTGAGTGCCTATGAGCGTAGTGTGTGGGTGTGAGCGTAGTGTGTGCATGTGAGTGCCTGTGAGCGTAGTGTGTGGGTGTGAGCGTACTGTGTGCATGTGAGTGCCTGTGAGCGTAGTGTGTGGGTGTGAGCGTACTGTGTGCATGTGAGTGCGTATGAGCGTAGTGCGTGGGTGTGAGCGTACTGTGTGCATGTGAGTGCGTATGAGCGTAGTGCGTGGGTGTGAGCGTACTGTGTGCATGTGAGTGCCTATGAGCGTAGTGTGTGGGTGTGAGTGCATATGAGTGTAGTGTGTGCTGTGAGCGTGTGGGTGTGCATGTGAGTGCCTGTGAGCATAGTGTGTGGGTGTGAGCGTAGTGTGTGCATGTGAGTGCCTATGAGTGTAGTGTGTGCTGTGAGCGTGTGGGTGTGCATGTGAGTGCCTGTGAGCGTAGTGTGTGGGTGTGAGCGTAGGGTGTGCATGTGAGTGCCTGTGAGTGTAGTGCGTGGGTGTGAGCGTAGTGTGTGCATGTGAGTGCCTATGAGTGTAGTGTGTGCTGTGAGCGTGTGGGTGTGCATGTGAGTGCCTGTGAGTGTAGTGTGTGCCTGTGAGCGTAGTGTGTGCATGTGAGTGCCTGTGAGCGTAGTGTGTGCTGTGAGCGTGTGGGTGTGCATGTGAGTGCCTGTGAGTGTAGTGTGTGGGTGTGAGTGCCTGTGAGCGTAGTGTGTGGGTGTGAGCGTAGTGCGTGCATGTGAGTGCCTGTGAGCGTAGTGCGTGGGTGTGAGCGTAGTGTGTGCATGTGAGTGCCTGTGAGCGTAGTGTGTGCTGTGAGCGTGTGGGTGTGCATGTGAGTGCCTGTGAGTGTAGTGTGTGCTGTGAGCGTGTGGGTGTGAGTGGTGTGGCAGTGGGCAGGGCTCAGCAGGTGGAAACACTGCTTGGTGATCCTCGGAGGAGGTGACCTTTGATTTCAGTGTCTCCAGGGGCTGAGCGCGCAGCTAAGAGGCGGTGCAGCGGAGTGTCTGCGTGGCGCCTGGGCCTGGGCGGGTGTGGGTGTGCGTCTGAGAGCAAGGGTGCGGGGCTGTGAGCCTGACCTGGCGCGTCTGAGAGACAGTGTGCACCTCGAGCTCCTGCTGTCCAGAGGCCGGGTCTCTGGGACTCGGCCCGAACCTCGGCCTCCAGGGGCTCCCCGAGGCGCCGCCGGCGGGCGGTGGCTGCGGTTGGGAGGAGCCAGGGGCGGGCGGGCTTGGGAAGGGGCAGCGCCTGGGTCTGGCCGGGCTGTGGGTGAGCTGCTGCGAGGGTGGGAGCAGGGGCGGCAGAGGAAGGGGGCGCGGGGCTGGGGACCTGGGCGCAGTGGCCGCTGGGTCCGAGGCTGCACCCTGGGCGCTCCGTCCAGTTCCTCTCGGTGCGTGGACCCGGTCCGCCCCGCCCGGCATACCCCCACCCCTGCGCCCCGCTCCCCCTGCGCCCGCCCCAGCGCCCGCCCCGCCCCGCACCCCCCTCAGGCTCCGCCATCACTTCCTCTCCCCGCCCCTCCTTTGTCCCTCCCCCGCTCCCTTCCCCGCGCGGTGGCCGGCCCGCCCCTCCGGGCCCTGGTGGCGGTGCCCGCCTCGCAGCTGGTGGGTCGGGGCCGGGAGGTCGGCGCCCCCCCCCCCCCCCCCGCCCCAAGGCCGGGCCGGGCTGGGAGGGCTCGAGCCCGGGGGGCCAGCGGTCCGAAGGTCCCGGCTTAGCGGTGAGTCCTCGCCTGGCCGGCCGCAGCCCCCAGGCCTGGGGCGGGGAGACCTCGGGCGGGGAGGGCAGGGGCGGGGGACCCGCTGGGGAGGGGTCCTGGGGGCCCCGATGAAGTGTGAGCCCCGATGCTTCTGAGTGGGAGTCTGGGGGCGACTTCACCTTCCCCAGCGCGAGGGCAGGGACCGCTTCTGGAGCTGAGGGTTAGGATGAGGGGCCAGCGCTGTGGCCAAGAGGGGTCTCTGATGGGAAGGACGAGGGCCCTTCCTTCCACCTTCCCTGCGCCCCAGCCTCCCTTTGGCCGGCCCTCCTGTTCCTGTGGCCAGCAGGGCAGTGGCTGGCGCCGGGAGTGAGTGTGAGCCGGTGTGAGAGTGTGTGTGATGTTTCCCTTCTGCATCGCTCAGAGGTGGGACCCACCCTCTCCTTTGCCCCCCCCCGCCACAGCTTTGCCTGGATGCGTGGGTTTTTGGGCTTCCTGGGTGGGCTGGCCTTGCAGGTGCGGCCAGGAAGGCAGAGAGGAGGGTTCTCCCCAGACACAGGCTGGCCTAGCCCGGGCATAGGACTGAAGTTGAGGCAACTACGGGGGCCCCTGAGTGCAAATAGAAAGTTAATTTGGGCAGGAGCTGGGCTGCCCTCAGTCCTGCTGCCCTCCTGCTCATCTATTAATACAGACCCAGCTCTGCTGCCTGGCATCGCCTATTTATAGTCCAGAGGCCGCACAGCCACACCCCCTGCATGGAGGAGGGTGCGGGGCAGAGGGGGGCGGGGCTGAGGGTCCCTAGGTGCCCACAGCCTCCGTGGGTGGGCCGGGCACTGGTGGGCAGTCAGTCTAGGAGTGAGTGGGCCTGTAGACCTTGAGCACTGGCTGGCGGGGGGGGGGGCGGGGGGGCTTGGCAGGACTGTTTTTGAAACAGCTGCGGGGTGAGTAGGCAGGCGGGTGGGTAGTTGGCTGTTACTTATTCCCGTTATGATTACTCTGGGGTCAGCTCCTCTGATTGGTGGCTTTGGCAAGAAGGCTCCCCCTCCAAGCACCCATTAGCCTGGAGAATGGCTGGTGCCCACCTGCCTGGGAGGGCCTGTGGGTGTGCCAGAGAAGGGGGTGGCTTTGTCCACTATGGTTATCTGCTCTGGGCTTCTCAGTCTGCGAGGTCTCCCTATCCCTCAGGCAGTGCCCTGGGTTCCAGCAACATGCTTCTCAGTGGGGGGTCTGCTAAGGTGCTCCCGTGGCCTGAGATGCCCCATGACCTCGTGGCCTGCACTGTCTCAACGTCTAGGAATGTCGGTTTCCCTGCCATTCTCGGCTCAGACTGGCATGAAGCTTGGGGTGCCAAGTGGCACCAGATTGGACAGATAGGCGGCTGGGGCCAGGGCCAGGGTGTGAACAAATTGGAAGGGTGGGTGATAGGAGCACCAGGTCCCTCTGGCACCTGCATGGCCAGGAGGCAGGGCTCTGCCACCAGGCTCAGGCACCGGCAGGCACACCTGCTGCTGGGCACACCCCCGGGCCCCTGGCTACGTTTTCTGGCTCCTGCGTGCCCTCCCCTCCACGCACTCCCTTCCTGAGCAGGACTGGGCTTGTGCTTACCGCCTGGGGATGTGCGTGGGGAGGCTGGGCCCCTGGGCTGGGCTGGGCTACGTTCCAGGGGAGACGCAGGAAAGGAGGGTGTCAGATCAGAGGGAAAGGGTGAGGCCACGCCCCCTGGTTGAATCTCAGGCAAATTCTGGCCCCTGAGGGGGCATCGCAGTTCCTCCCGTCTCCTACCTCAGAGTTTTCTGTGATCCTGGAAGTGGCTGCCTCTCGAGCTTACCCTTCCACCCAAGGGGCCTGGTCACTGTTGGCCACGTCGGGACACAGGTGCCCATGTTCCCTGAGGAGGTCTCTCTGTGGACAGGGCACTTCCACGTGCACACAGTGCCTCTTCTGCAAGGTCGGCGTGTCCTCATGTCTCTAAAGAGAAGACCAGCCTCGGGGCGGGAAGTGACTTCGCCTGTCAGAGGAAGAGTTAGGACTAGTCCTTGGGCCTGGGGACTCACAAACCAGTGCTCCTTCCACTCTGCCGTGTGCTCTGGGCCCAGCCGGTGCCTTTCTCAGGCACAGCTGCCTCCGACGTGGATAGGGGCACTGAGTGCAGGCGGGTGGCTCCCTGGAGCCTGGGTGCGCCTGCTAGTGGGTGAGGGTGCCTCCCCGCTGCCAGCCGTCCAAGCATTTCCTTTCTCCGAAGGCTGCATGTTGTGCCTGGGCCAGTCCACCTTCCTCCGGTTCAACCACCCCGCTGAAGCCAAGTGGATGAAAAGCATGATCCCGGCAGGGGGCCGGGCCCCGGGCCCCCCCTACAGCCCCGACCCAGGTAGGGCAGGAGGTTGGGTGGGTGGTCCCCCCTTGGATGGCCCTCCTCCTGGCCCCCCAGCCCCTGGCAGAGTCAGGGCAGGACAACACCCATGGTCGGGCTTGCTGCCACCTGCCATGGCCACTGGGAGAGATCCAAGAAGTGCTGCTTGGCTCGAACCAGGGAATCAGATGCCTGGGCTGCCAGTCGCTCCCTGGTTAGCTCCCTCCGGCCTCACCTAGCCTCGCCGCCCAGTCCCGCTGCTGTTGGGGGCAGTGGTTTCAGTCACTGGTGGGCTGAGCAGGGCTGGGGCAGGGCGCAGGTGGGCTCTCGCTGGCATGGCTGCCTGGGCTCATCAGAGGGCTGAGCTGGTCAGCCTGGCTTCTAGGAACCAGCCCGCAGTGTCAGCCCCTCCCTTGCCTCTGATTGGACCAAGGGGTGCAGCATACATCCCCCGTTCAGCCCGGGAGGCATGGTGGGTGTTTTTTCCTGGGTCCTGGCTGCCGTGTCTGCAGCCCCTTAGGTCCTTACTGGACTGGGATCCAGCTCCATAGCGTGCCCCACCCTGCTGCAGAGGGTCCCCCCACCCTTCCTGCTAAGAGATTTAGGAGGTTGGGGAAACCAAGGCAGGGAGGAACCTAGACTTGGGGTGAGTAGGCAGCGACCAGCCTAGAGTGCCTGGTGTCATTGCTGACTCTGTCCTAAGTGAGAACGTGTTAGCCAGAAGCGTCCTACCCGTCCTCCTCCTTACAGCGGGGAACCGGGCAGGGACGGGGAAGGCTGAACAGCAGGGCAGCGGCACAGCCGCCCAGAACCCAGACCTCCCAGCTTCTCCTCCCGAGTCTTCGCAGCTCAGCTCAGCTCAGCTCAGAGGAGGCGGGGGATGCCTTGCTCTGGCACTTAGGGACCTCCCCAGAGCCCGAGGCCAGGCCTGAGGCATCCTTGCGTTTCCCTCTCACAGAGTCAGAAAGCCTAGTGAACGGGAACCACCCCCCGCAGCCTGCAGCCGAGGGCCCCGCGGCCTACGCCAGCCACAGCTCCCTGGTGAGCTCGATTGAGAAGGACCTGCAGGAGATCATGGACTCCCTGGTGCTCGAGGACCCCGGCACCGGCGGCAAGAAGCCTGCTGCCACGTCCACACTGTCACCGATGGCTAACGGGGGTCGCTACCTGCTGTCGCCCCCGACCAGCCCCGGCGCCATGTCCGTGGGCTCCAGCTACGAGAACACCTCCCCGGCTTTCTCTCCACTCTCCTCACCAGCCAGCAGCGGGAGCTGTGCCAGCCACTCGCCCAGTGGGCAGGAGCCAGCCCCTCCTGTGCCCCCGCTTGTGCCTGTGCGCTCTTCCAGTTACCATCTGGCCTTGCAGCCCCCACAGTCCCGGCCCAGTGGGACCCGCCCCTCTGAGAGCCCCCGGCTGGGCAGGAAGGCGGGGCATGAGCGGCCCCCCAGCCCCGGCCTCCGGGGTCTGCTGCCAGCCAGCCCCACTGCTCCTGTCCTGGCGGAGGCCCACAGAGCCACCGAGAGCCCCTGGCTGGGTGGGCAGCTGCCCGTGGTGGCCATCAGCCTGAGTGAATACCCAACTTCTGGTGCCCACAGCCAACCCACCAGCGTTCCTGGCAGTCCCAAGTTCCAGCCTCCAGTCCCTGCACCCCGAAACAAGATGGGTGTGCTCCAGGATCGCCCCCCCAGCCCTCTCCGAGAGCTGCCGGGCCCCGAGCGCGGGTTGGCAAGCAGCCCCTCACGCCAGTCGCTGGGCCGAACGTTCTCGGACGGGCCAACCCCCCGCACCCTGCAGCCCTCTGAGAGCCCCCGCCTGGGCCGCCGGGGCCTGGACAGCCTGCGGGAGCTCCCTCCCCTGAGCCCGGCTCTGTCCCGACGGGCTCTGTCCCCCCTGCCCTCCCGGTCCACCCCAGACCCCAAGCTGACCAGGGACGTGGCAGAGAGCCCCCGGCCCCGGCGCTGGGCAGCCCACGGCACTTCGCCAGAGGACTTCTCACTGACACTGGGGGCGCGGGGCCGTAGGACACGGAGCCCCTCGCCCACCCTCGGGGAGTCCCTGGCACCCCGCAAGGGCAGCTTCAGTGGCCGGCTGAGCCCCGCCTACAGCTTGGGCTCCTTGCCGGGGGCTGTGACCCGACAGAGCCCCCGTGCCCGGAGGAAGCTCTCCAGCGGGGACTTGCAGGTGCTGGTCACCCGGGAGCGGAAAAACAGCATCACCGAGATCAGCGACAATGAGGACGACCTGCTGGAGTACCACCGGCGGCAGCGCCAGGAGCGGCTCCGGGAGCAGGAGATGGAGAGGCTGGTGAGCAGGGCGGGTGCCAGGGAGGCTGCTGACCTCCACTGCGGGGTCCCCCAGACGTGGGCAGGCCAGCGGGCGGGGCGGCTGCAGGCCCGCTGCTCATGCTTCCTCCAGGATGCACCGTGGGGACTGGCCTCCAGGCGCTGGTGCCTGAAGAACTTTCTCTGACGCCTGTAAGGCTGTATTTTAAACTCAGGCTAATTTTGCACTTACTCCATCACACAGCTTTTGTGTTAATGCATAAACGTCCTCCTCGTTTAGCTGAACAATGGAAACTCTAGGACAGCGGTTCTCAACCTGTGGGTCGCGACCCCTTTGGCGGTCGAGTGACCCTTTCACAGGGGTCGCCTAAGACCATCCTGCATATCAGATATTTACATGACGATTCATAACAGTAGCAACATGACAGTTATGAAGTAGCAACGAAAATAATGTTATGGTTGGGTCACAACATGAGGAACTGTATTTAAAGGGCCAGAAGGTTGAGAACCACTGCTCTAGGAAAACACACCACATTTATGGTTGAGGCCTCGGCCCTCCCGGTTTGAGAAGCAGGCCTAACTGAGAAGGCAAGGCCAGGGGCAGATGGCTTTTTCTGGGTCGCACACTTCATAGAGCTGGGATTGGAGCCTGAGGCTCCTGTCTTTCCAAGTCTTGTTCTTCTTTTTTAAATATATTTTTATTGATTTCAGAGAGGCAGAGAGGGATAGAAACATTAATGATGAGAGAGTTCTGGACCGGCTGCCTCCTGCACGTCCCCACACTGGGGATCGAGCCTGCAAGCTGGGCATGTACCCTGACCGGGAATCGAACCCTGACCTCCTGGTTCATAGGTCGACGCTCAACCACTGAGCCACACCGGCCAGGCCCACGTCTTGTTCCTTAGAAAGGCATCTGGTCCTTCTTTCTTGCTGCCCTTTGACATCTAAATGTGTGGAGCTGCTCACCCTGGCCACGCAGGGTCCCCTGGGACGTGGGGGGCAGGGAGGAGGAGGAGAACGGGGTACAGCCTGTGTGATTGTGCTGTGTGTGTTGGGGTTCGGATGTGGTGTGGGCAGCTGTCCTAGAGAGAGCATCTAAGCCACTGGGTGCTGGGATCCCCCAGATGGCACCGGGCTCGAGGGGCTCTGGCTGGCGTGTGCACTCACACACATGCACAGGAGAGGGACCCCCCAGATGGCACCGGGCTCGAGGGGCTCTGGCTGGCGTGTGCACTCACACACATGCACAGGAGAGGGACCCCCCCAGATGGCACCGGGCTCGAGGGGTGCTGGCTGGCGTGTGCACTCACTCACACACATGCACAGGAGAGGGCCCCCAGATGGCACCGGGCTCGAGGGGCTCTGGCTGCGTGTGCACTCACTCACACACAAGCACAGGAGAGGGCCCCCCCAGATGGCACCGGGCTCGAGGGGCGCTGGCTGGCGTGTGCACTCACTCACACACATGCACAGGAGAGGGATCCCCCAGATGGCACCGGGCTCGAGGGGCGCTGGCTGGCGTGTGCACTCACTCACACACATGCACAGGAGAGGGATCCCCCAGATGGCACCGGGCTCGAGGAGCTCTGGCTGCGTGTGCACTCACTCACACACATGCACAGGAGAGGGATCCCCCAGATGGCACCGGGCTCGAGGAGCTCTGGCTGCGTGTGCACTCACACACATGCACAGGAGAGGGATCCCCCAGAAGGCACCGGGCTCGAGGGGCGCTGGCTGGCGTGTGCACTCACACACATGCACAGGAGAGGGATCCCCCAGAAGGCACCGGGCTCGAGGGGCTCTGGCTGCGTGTGCACTCACACACATGCACAGGAGAGGGCCCCCCCAGATGGCACCGGGCTCGAGGGGCGCTGGCTGGCGTGTGCACTCACCACATGCACAGGAGAGGGATCCCCCAGATGGCACCGGGCTCGAGGGGCGCTGGCTGGCGTGTGCACTCACATACATGCACAGGAGAGGGCCCCCCCAGATGGCACCGGGCTCAAGGGGCGCTGGCTGGCGTGTGCACTCACATACATGCACAGGAGAGGGCCCCCAGATGGCACCGGGCTCGAGGGGCTCTGGCTGCGTGTGCACTCACTCACATGCACAGGAGAGGGATCCCCCAGATGGCACCGGGCTCGAGGAGCTCTGGCTGCGTGTGCACTCACATACATGCACAGGAGAGGGATCCCCCAGAAGGCACCGGGCTCGAGGGGCTCTGGCTGCGTGTGCACTCACACACATGCACAGGAGAGGGCCCCCCCAGATGTCACCAGGCTCGAGAGGCGCTTGCTGGCGTGTGCACTCACTCACACACATGCACAGGAGAGGGATCCCCCAGATGGCACCGGGCTCGAGGGACGCTGGCTGGCGTGTGCACTCACACACATGCACAGGAGAGGGCCCCCCCAGATGGCACCGGGCTCGAGGGGCGCTGGCTGGCGTGTGCACTCACCACATGCACAGGAGAGGGCCCCCCCAGATGGCACCGGGCTCGAGGGGCGCTGGCTGGCGTGTGCACTCACACACATGCACGGGACAGTGGATCTTGCCCTTTCTTGTGAGCACTAGAATAGGGTTCCTGCGGGAAGGGGGGCAAGGGCCCTGCATTTGGTTTGCGGAGGAAAATCAGAATTGAGGAGGTTTGCCCTGGCCAGTGTGGCTCAGTGGATAGAGCGTTGGCCTGGGTTCGACTCTGGTCAAGGGCAGGTACCTTGCTTGCAGGCTCCTCCCTGGCCCGGGCCCTGATGGGGGCCTGTGCAGGAGGCAACCCATCAATGTGTTTCTCTCACATCGATGTTTCTCTCAGTCTCTCCCTCTCCCTTCCACGCTCCCTAAAAGTCAGTGGAAACATAGCTTCGGGTGAGGATTAACAAAAAGAAATTGAGGAGGCTTGTCCGCAGCGCCTTTCAGAAGAGGTTGGGACAGCTTTGGATGAAGTGAGGGTGCTGGGTGGGGAGCGGTGAGGCGGGATCCCCAGGCGGCGGCGGAACGCCTGACCCGTGCACACAAAGCTGTGTTTAGCAGGTACGCGCCGAGCCAGACAGACCTGAGACCCAGAGCTCCTCCCTCAGGCAGCTGGAGGCCCCTTCCCGGCAGATGGGCTGCTTGAGCCCTGGCCCAGGGAGTGTCCCCCTGGGGCCGCCCTGGGGGCCGTGAGCCTGGCCGCACGAGGGGTGGCCCAGCCTCCCCCAGGAGCACACCTCCCCGCCAGCCCTGACCTGCCGCTTTAAATCTGGGAGGCCGCCCGCCCGCCCGCCCCTCCCACCTCCCCGGGCTGCTTGTCGGGGTGCTGGGGCAGGGGCGAGGCGCCCAGCCTCCTGGGTGTGAGGCTCTGCCTGGTTGTCGGTGTTTTCCTTTGCCATGGAGCTAGGCGAGCGGCGGCCGGGCAGCTGGGTGAGTGTCTGGTGGTCGTGGCCAAACTGGACACGGGAGAGGCACCTTAGGCGGGGGTGGGGGGTGGAGGTGGGGGGGGGGGGCGGCGGCAGAACATGGGGGAGGCTGGAGGTTCTGAGCGGGAAAGGGGGTTCCAGACCTGAAGCGTGATTAGACCTTCCTTCAGATCCTAGGCCCTGAGAGGTATCTTGGGGGACAGTGAGGGGGGCAGGCTCTGTGTGGGCGCAGGGAGGCCCAGGTCCCAGGTCCCGGGTCTGTCTGGCAGGGGTCTGAGCACAGCTCCGGGTGAGTGTCAGGCCCCTGGGCCTGGGGTCTGCCTCCCGTGGTGTCTGCCGCCCGCATGCTGGCCTGCGTGTCTGCGTGCGTGTGGGCCAGTGTGCGTGTGCGTGTCGGGGCAGGCCCAGGGCACTGCCGTGTCCTCCGTCAGGGCTGGGGTGTGGGGGTGTCTGTGCCCCTCAGGTCTGTCCTCCCCTTTGAGGGCTGGGGTGTGGGGGTCTCTGTGCCCCTCGGGTCTGTCCTCCCCTTTGAGGGCTGGGGTGTGGGGGTCTCTGTGCCCCTCGGGTCTGTCCTCCCCTTTGAGGGCTGGGGTGTGGGGGTCTCTGTGCCCCTCGGGTCTGTCCTCCCCTTTGAGGGCTGGGGTGTGGGGGTCTCTGTGCCCCTAGGGTCTGTCCTCCCCTTTGAGGGCTGGGGTGTGGGGGTCTCTGTGCCCCTCGGGTCGTGGATCTGCATGTATCCGTGCCAGCGTGAGCACCTTGGTGTTTATCTGTGTCTTGCTGTGGCCTTGTCTGCTCCCCAGTGTGTGTTCCCTTTGTGTCTGGGTGCACCCCACTGGGCAGTGAGAAAGGAAAGGGAGGGAAGATGGGGGGGGCTGGCCATGTAGCTGGGATGCAGCAGCCAGCCTGCTCCTGCTCGCTTCTGGGGTCCCCTCGTTCCCTCTGCCTCCTCAGAGCTTGGCGGGGAATGGGGGGCGCTTCCCTGATTTGTCTGAGCCTCAAGCCCTAGAACCCTAGTTCTCTCTCCTGGGAGACCCTGCCTGCCCCAGCCCCACAGGACATGCCTCCTCCCCTCACGCCCGCTCTGTCCATCTTCCCAGGAGCGGCAGCGCCTGGAGACCATCCTGAACCTGTGTGCGGAGTACAGCCGGGCCGATGGGGGGCCTGAGGCCGGGGAGCTGCCCAGCATCGGGGAGGCCGCTGCTGCTTTGGCACTGGCCGGCCGGAGGCCCTCGCGAGGCTTTCCAGGGGCCATTGGGGCCTCCGGGCGGAGCAGCGAGGAGCCTGGAGGTGCCCCTGCGCGGCTGTGGGAGACCATAGACCGCACGGAGGAGGAGAACCTCAAGGAGGAGTGCAGCAGCACCGAGAGCACCCAGCAGGAGGTGGGGTGGGGGGGCCGGGAGCACCAGCAGGAGGTGGGGTGCGGGGGCTGGGAGCACCAGCAGGAGGTGGGGTGGGGCGGCCGGGAGCACCAGCAGGAGGTGGGGTGGGGGGGCCGGGAGCACCAGCAGGAGGTGGGGTGCGGGGGCTGGGAGCACCAGCAGGAGGTGGGGTGGGGCGGCCGGGAGCACCAGCAGGAGGTGGGGTTGGGGGGCCGGGAGCACCAGCAGGAGGTGGGGTGTGGGGGGGCCGGGAGCACCAGCAGGAGGTGGGGTGGGGGGGCGGGGAGCACCAGCAGGAGGTGGGGTGGGGGGGCTGGGAGCACCAGCAGGAGGTGGGGTGGGGGGGCTGGGAGCACCAGCAGGAGGTGGGGTGTGGGGGGGCCGGGAGCACCAGCAGGAGGTGGGGTGTGGGGGGGCCGGGAGCACCAGCAGGAAGTGGGGTGGGGGGCTGGGAGCACCAGCAGGAGGTGGGGCACGGGGGGGGGCTGGGAGCACCAGCAGGAGGTGGGGCGCCGGGTCCCCGGGAGCACCAGCAGGAGGTGGGGTGCAGGGGGCTGGGACTGGGAGCACCAGCAGGAGGTGGGGTGTGGGGGGGCCGGGAGCACCAGCAGGAGGTGGGGTGCAGGGTGGGCCAGCGGCAGAGCAGGCAGGCATTTGTGGTGGGTGCCAAGGCCCAGGGAGGAGGAAGTAATTGAAGGATTCGGTTTGGGAAGGGATGGGGCTGGGAAGTGTAGAAAGGAGGCAAGGACCAGCGGGCGGTGCCGATGCGTTTGCCAGGCTATAAATATGCTCTGGGACCTGCCTTCCCTGGGCCCCACCCGGCCTGGCACTCGGTGGTAAAGCTTATTCCGAGTAAGTGCATCGGCATTGTCCCCTTGCAGGGAGGGAAGCTGCTTTCCCTGTCCCCCTGCCCCAGGGGACCCTCATCCTGGCTGACGCTTCCCTCCCCTCCAGCAGGAGGACGCGCCCAGCGCCAGGCTGCAGGGCGAGGTGCTGGCCCTGGAGGAGGAGCGGGCGCAGGTGCTCGGGCGCGTGGAGCAGCTCAAGGTCCACGTGAAGGAGCTGGAGCAGCAGCTGCAGGAGTCGGCCCGCGAGGTGAGCCTCCTGCAGGGCTGGCGGGATGCTGCAGAGGCCCTAGGAGCGGTTCGGGCGTGTCTGAGCGCCTGGACCGGCCCTGATGTGGACCCGGTCGCCCCCAGGCCGAGATGGAGCGGGCGCTGCTGCAGGGCGAGAGGGAGGCCGAGCGGGCGCTGCTGCAGCAGGAGCAGAGGGCGGCGGACCAGCTGCAGGAGAAGCTGCTGGCCTTGGAGACGGGCGTCCAGAAGGAGAGGGACAAGGTAACCACACCTGGCCGGGCTCGGGGCCGGGCCGGGCCTGGGAGAGGAGAAACGCCTGGTGGGGGAAGGGGGGCCCTGGCCCCTTACTTCATCCTCTAACCTGCCCACCAGGTGGCCTCTGTGTCGCTTTGGGGAGGGGCCTTGTCCTCCGTGGAAGGTAGCAGCTCGGAGGTCCCCGCGGGCTGGGCTGGTTCCCTCGGTCTGGGGTCTCCTCTGGCTGGGTTTCTGTGCTGTCCCGGGTGCCTGCCATTCTGGGCCCTGCTAGGAAGTACCCAAAGCCCTTCTGGGACAGTGAGCACAGCCGAGGGCCTGGTGCTGGGAGCGATGCAGGCTGGGGTCCCCCACGCGTGCCTGGTGCGCAGGCGGTGGTCTCCGGGAGTGAGCCCTCAGGTCTCTGCTCCCCTGAGCCTCCAGGATCTACAGCTGCAGCCCTGCCCCTCTCAGGTTTAGTGCCAGCCTGCAGGGACCATTCTGTCCCCGAGGGGCCGTGCCAGCCACACCCAGGATGGCCTACAATGTGCCAAAAGCTCTCAAGTGGAGAGGGGCCATTTATTTTTGGACTGACAGTATTTTTCTAAGAATTCATCTCCTCCTGCATTTTTTTTGAGAGTGTCTTTCTCCTTCCCCTCAATTTGGAAGCTCTTACAAATTCTTTGACAACCACCTCCCCTTCTTGAATTTTGGCTCTAGGCCCCAAAACCACACTCCCAAATTCTGTGCCAAATTAACTCTATGCTTACCAAACAGGCCTGCACTAACGTGTCCCGTCCCCCCCCTCCCTCCACTGTCCCAGTCACTGTCCTGGGCTCTGTGCATGCCCCTAACTCCAGTGCCACCCGGGCGGGGAAGAGCTATGAGCCATGCCACTTCTGCACTAACTCCACGGGCTTTGGGCCTCTCCCCTCTAACGCTGCCTTCTTCCTTTCTGGGTGTGGACCCCAGGGTTTTGATCAGAAAAGAATGGGCAAGGGGCACAGCTCAACCTGACTCCATGGGCACCGGCAGGAGGGTGCAAAGTTGGGGGAAATGGTTGATGAGGGCCTCTCACCCTGCAGAGCCCTCCCCTTTGGAAGGCTGGTGCTGCCCCTGCAGACGGGTGAGGGAGGCCTGCTGCCCCCAGCACCTGCCCGCCTTCCTCCAAGCAGGGGGTCAGGAGGCCAGTGGTGTGGCCTTGCTGTGGAGCTCCCTTGGGGGCTCCCCAAATGCAGACCTTCGGGCAGAGGGTGGGAATGGGGGCCTCTCCCTTCCTGCCCCAAGTCGTCCAGAACACAGGGCGCTGTAAAGGTCGAGTCCGAGGATGGGGAGGTGCTTGGACCCCGACTGAACTGACCAGGTCCTCCTCCCCAGGAGGGAGGTGGGTTATAGGGGGCCTGGCCGGGCTCAGCATGGGGTCTCATTCCCGGGGAAGCTCACGGTCCAGAAGGAGCCTGCCCAGCCGCATTGCTCCTGTACCCGGTGTGGCCGGAGGCCTGGCCTTGGCCTCTCAGAGCCCCGTTATGTGAGGCCCCACTCTCGCTTTGGGATCAGTAGTCAGTTTCTCCCCTGCCTGCCTGTCCTTCGGAGGTGACTCACCAGCGCCTCCCGTCCTGCCCTGCCCTCAGGGGTGTCATCTCGCCCCAGACAGAGCCACCCACCTCCTCTCTGTATCCACGGCTGGGGCACCGGTTACCATGGCAACTCCTGAACTAATTGCAGCCCTCAGCCTGCTGCAGTTCAGCCTGTGGTGCCAGCACTCACCCCACCCCGGGCAGGAGGGAGGAGGCCACGGGGTTGGGCTGGGTCCCCTTTGCCGCTCACCGCTGCCATAGCTTCACATCCCCTGGATTTCCCTCACCACCTCCACCCATCTCCCCCCCCCCCCCCCGTCCCCCCCCCCCCCCCCGGGGTAAATTTTGGTCTCAGGCAGGAGAGTGCAGGAGCTAGAACAGTAGTTCTCAACCTGTGGGTCGCAACCCCTTTGGGGGTCGAACGACCCTGTCACAGGGGTCGCCTAAGACCATCGGAAAACACATATATAATTACTTATTGTTTTGTGATTAATCACTATGCTTTCATTATGTTCAATTTGTAACAATGAAATTGGGGGTCACCACAACATGAGGAACTGGATTAAAGGGTCGCGGCGTTAGGAAGGTTGAGAACCACTGAGCTAAAAGCTCCCATTTGGGCTGTGGAGCCACCTTTGGCCTTGACTGGTTTGGAGAGAAAGCAGAAGGCTTTTTCTATCTTTTTTTTCTTAATATACTTTTATTGATTCCAGAGAGGAAGGGAGAGGGAGAGAGAGAGAAACATCAATGATGAGAGAGAATCATGGATCGGCTGCCTCCTGCACGCCCCACACTGGGGAGGAGCCCACAACCCAGGCATGTGCCCTGACTGGGAATTGAACCCGGGACCCTTCAGTCCGAAGGCTGACGCTCTATCCACTGAGCCACACCAGCCAGGGCATAGGGCTTTTCCTTAGGCCCTACCCCACGTGTCTAGTTGAAGGGACTTGGAGAGACCAAAATTTCTGCCTGGGCCCACCCCCCCCTCAGCTCCTGCTCCGCCCACTCGCCCCCTTTCCCCCTGTTCCCCTCTGCTCGTCCTCTCTCCTGCCCTGGCTGTTCTCTGCTGTTACTTGTCTTGTTTTCTCTCCTCCCGCCCACGCCCCTCGCCCTGCTGCTGCGCGGAGTTGAGGAGTGTGTGTTCTTTCTCCCCTGCCCGCCCGCGACCAGGAGAGGGCGGAGCTGGCCGCGGGACGCCGGCACCTGGAGGCCCGCCAGGCGCTCTACGCGCAGCTCCAGAGGCAGCTCGATAACTGCCCCGAGTCAGTGCGGGAGCAGTTGCAGGAGCAGCTGAGAAGGGTCAGTGTCATCAGCCCCCTCCCTGGCCCCGAGGGCCCCTGCCCGGAAGAGAGGAGAGCGTGGGACAGGACCACCTGGGCCCTGCGGTACCTGCCAGGACGCCAGGGTCGGTGCTTTGGTTTGGAGGGGACCGGAGGATGGGGGGCTCTCTCTCCTTCCGCGGTTCCAGGTGGTGATGCCTGTGAAGGGGCCTAGCCAAGCCAAGGAAAGGGGGGGGATGGGACAGAGCCTTTTCCCAGTTTCCCCGGGTCCAGCCCCCCAAACTCGAGTGGGATTTCAGGCACCACCCAACCCCCGTGTCACTGTCGTTCCAGGAGGCTGAGGCCCTGGAGACGGAGACGAAGCTCTTCGAGGACCTGGAGTTCCAGCGGCTGGAGCAGCAGAGCCGCGCGGAGGAGGAGCGGGAGCTGGCCGGCCAGGGGCTGCTCCGGAGCCAGGCCGAGCTGCTGCGCAGCGTCGCGCGGAGGAAGGTGGGCCCGCCGCTCCCGCCTCCTGCGGGGGGTGGTGCACAGCGCTGGGGGGGGCTAGCGGCCGGTGACCTGGCTTTGACTCCCAGTTGATGGCCTTGTGAATGTTAACTTCATCTTCTGAGCCTCAGTGTCCTCATCATCAAAGGAGAAGAATAATAGGCTGTTGGGAGAATTAAACCCAGGTGCTGTGAAGACAGTAGGATATGATCATAGTAAGCTCTCAGCCAACTATCACTAGTGTAGGTTTTTTTTAAATACATATTTTATTCATTTCTGAGAGGAAGGGAGAAGGAGAGAGAGAGAAACATCAATGATGAGAGAGAATCATTGATTGGCTGCCTCCTGCACACACCCATTAGGGATCAAGCCCACAGCCTGGGCGTGCGCCCTGATCAGGAATCAAACCAGCGGCCTCTTGTTCCTGGGTTGATGCTCAGCTGCTGAGCTGCACCCACGGGCAGTAGCTGTGGTTGTGAAGCCAGACTCCGGAGTCGTGTGTGGAAGGTCGATGGGCTCCCCTTCTGAGCTGGGCGCTGCGGGCAGTGAGAGGGAAGGAGAGATGCAGGTGGGAGGAGGCTGAGCCTCAGGCTCCTCCTGCCTAGGAGAGCCCTCTCTGATGGGAGTGCTGACTGGGATCTGGGTGTGAGGCCCCGCCTGAGGTCCTGGAGAGGGAACCCCGGGTCCCAGTTTGGCTCAGCCCTGGCTCACTGAGCCCTAAAGCAGGGGGATTGGCCCTGGCACCCCGGCTTGTCCCCGAGCTCCAGGGGCTGTGATCACTTCTGATCTCAGGGGCGATGGGGTGGAATGTGTGTGTGAGGGTGGGGAGTGCGTGAAGTTGGGAGGAGGCCCGCATTAAGCCAAGGTTAGGAAGACATCAGGGAGGAGAATGGGAAGATGGCTGGGGGGCTTCCGAGCCTGTGGCTGAGCCTTGCATGCCTGTGCACACGCACATGTGTGTGCAGTTCTCCTGGCTGGGATGAGTGGGTGGGATGGGAGGACAGTGAGAATGGCAGGGGTGTCGAAAAGTGGTGAGTTGGGACTTGACAGCTATCCTGGGTTTGGCGGTGAGTGGGGAGCCACTGACTTCCCCCGGCGTTCAGATCCCTTGCTTCTCTCCCATGCTGCTCTGCCTTACAACTGCGTCCGCTTCCAATGTGAGGCAGGTGAAAGGCAGGAAAACAGTTCTCACTTCCCAAGCCCACGGGTGTGTGAAAAGGCCTCGTGTAAGCTCATTCCGACCTTAGCTTAGGGTGGTCTCAGTCCAGTACTCTCACCCGTTTTATTTTTATTTTTAAAAAATATTTTTATTGATTTCAGAGAGGAAGAGAGAGGGAGAGAGAAACATCAATGATGAGAGAGAATCATTAATCAGCTGCCTCCTGCATGCCCCCTACTGGGAATTGAGCTTGCAACCTGGGCATGTGCCCTTGACTGGAATCAAACCTGGTACCCTTCAGTCCACAGGCTGACACTGTATCCACTGAGGCAAACCAGCTAGGGCCTCTTATTCTATTTATATGCAGAGTTGGGCAAAAGTAGGTTTACAGATGTTTGTATGGACAGTTATACAATAATCCTTCCTATAAAAGGCTAATATGCAAATTGACTGAATCTCTGAATGACTGGTCACTATGACGTGCACTGACCACCAGGGGGCAGATGCACAGTGCAGGAGCTGACCCCGGGTGGTCAGTGTGCTCCTGCAAGGGGAGCGCTGCTTAGCCACAAGCCGGGCTCACAGCTGGCGAGTGAAGCGGCGGTGGCGGGAGCCTCTCCCACCTCTGCAGCAGCGCTAAGGATGTCTGACTGCTGGCTTAGGCCGTCAGTTGGACATCCCCCGAGGGCTCCCAGACTACAACAGCGGCAGGCTGAGCTGCGGGGGACCCCTCCCCCCGAGCGCATGAATTTCGTGCACTGGGCCTCTAGTTAATAAATAATACAGGAATAGACTCCGTTTCACGTACTCACAACTTTTGTACAGGTCTGTACACCTACGTTTGCCCCACCCCATACACGGAAACCAGGGTTCAGAGAAGCTCCAGATTTGCCCCAAGCCTCCCAGCTTATAAGCTTCAGAGTCAGGATTGGAACCCAGGCCTGCCTGGCCCCAAAGCCCTGTTCCTCCCCACGACGCTGCACGGGGCTGGGGGCTGGTGCTCCTCTGGCCTCTTTCCCTTTCCTGCTGGAGAGCACACGCCAGGGAGCCTTGGAGCGGCTAGTCCCATGGATTCCAGGTCTGGGTGGGCATAAGCTCCAGAGAATTTGGGAGGGTGGGTATATTGGACCTCTGGTCCCTCCCACTCATGCCCACCCAGGCCCCCAGGAAACGAGGGCTCTGCCACTGGGACCCAGGGTCATACTCTCCCCTGTGCGTCTCCTTGGGAGCCTTGCTCAGCTGTCTTCTTGGCTCCCAGTGTCCCCACCCCCACCCTCCGCCTGCCCCCAGCCTCCGTCTGTCCTGGTGCCCTGGGCTTCCCTGTCTTCTCCAGTGGGGATCAGAGTGGCTCAGAGGATGGCTTTGGAGTCCAACTGACCTGGTTCTCATCCGAACTCTACCATTTACTAAGTTACCTTACCTCCTAAGTATTCAGTGTTCTTATCAGTAAAATGGGCACAAAGACACCTGCCTCAGAAGGCAGTTAAAGGAGGTCATAGCCCAGTCGGCGTGGCTCAGTGGTTGAGTGTGGACCTCCTATGAACCAGGAGGTCAGGGTTTGATTCCCAGTCAGGGCACATGCCCGGCTTGCGGGCTTGATCCCCAGTGTGGGGCATGCAGGCAGCAGCCGATCAATTATTCTCGCGCATCATTGATGTTTCTATCTGTCTCTTCTTCTCTCTTCTCAAATCAATAAAAAATATTTTTTTAAAAAGGAGGTAACAAATGCAAGCATTTAGCAGAGTTCTTGGGCCCTTAATAGGTTCTCGGTAAACTGGAAACAGCAGATCTTGCTGCGAGGACCACCGCCTCCTCTGCTTCAGTCTTTTCTAGGCTGACCCCAGATTTAGGTCGACTTCCTTCTTCTCTCCCCCTCCCATGTCTTGCTCTTCAGGGTTGTTAGTGGTTTAAGACCTCTCTTTCAGGAAGCCCTCCGGGATTAACCCAGCCATTTTCCCAGCCCCTATCCTTTTCTCTCACTTATTATCCTTTTTTTTTTTTAGCTCATGCTTGTTGAGCCAGGCATTGTGCTGAGTCCGACTGGGGATGTGGAGGGAGAAGGGACACTTGCCATGCTCTTGGGTCTGACACCCTGGGTGGTGGTGATGGAGATGTCTATTCACAAGTAATAGTCACACAGGCAAATGGTGATACAGAAGTGTGAGTCCAGAGGAGCAGAGAAATTGAGTGGTGATCAAGGGAGATGTTAGAGAAAAGACAGCAGTTGGACCAGTCGTGGAGGGTGAGTCAGCTCTCGATGGGCGCAGGAGGCAGGCAGGGCTCTCTTGGGCTGCAGGGACAGTGGGAGCAAGGCCCGAGGACGCAGCTTTGCAGTGGAGGGTACAGCGGGCCGAGCTGAGAACGCAGGGCTCAGGTGGGAGGGGCTGAAAAGTGTAGACCCCGATCTGGGCACCCTTGAGTGCTGGCTGAGGAGTTTGTGCTCCATCCTGAGAGTAACGAGGAGTCACTGAAAGAGTTTCAGGAGAGGAGTGATCTAACTTTACTCGTGGATTTTTTACTCGTGGATAAAGAAATTATTCAGCCCGGCCGGCGTGGCTCAGGGGTTGAGTGTGGACCTATGAACCAGGAGGTCACGGTTCAATTCCTGGTCAGGGCACATGCCCCGGTTGTGGGCTGGATCCCCAGTGTGGGGCGTGCAGGAGGCAGCCGATCAATGATTCTCTCTCATCATTGATGTTTCTATCCCTCTCTTGCTCCCTCTCCCTTCCTCTCGAAATCAATAAAAATGTATTTAAAAAATTAATTCAAGTAATATATGTTCTCCTTAAGAGATTAGAAAATTCAGCCTTGGAGAAAAAAACTAAGATGGCGGCATAGATAAACACCGGGAAATTTCTGCTTCCCACAACAATCGATAAATGCATCAAAAACACAAGGTGGACATCATCCAGAGCTACAGGAGGGCTGGCTGAGTGTAAATTCTACAACTAGAAGGAGAGAAAAGCACACTGCGAGCGGGAGGAGCTGCGGAGGTGGCGTGCAGAGGTACGGGGGCGCGCGCGGAAAGGGTCTGGCACCTGAGGACACGGCTGTCTTTTTGAATCCGGAGGGAGACACAAGCTCCCGACAGCTCTGAAATCCGGTTCCGGGAAGTCTCTGGGGACCCAGGGCTCATACGGGGAAATACTGGACTGTCTGGCAGCGGGCGAGCTTGAGAGCGGCTTTCCCTCAGAGGTGCTTGCAGCCGTTGCCGGGACACTGGGACTCGCGACTCCTTAGGGCAGGGCTGAGGCTCCGCCATAGCTGCTTTCTCAGCCCTTTGATTCCTTGAGACCCCGCCCCACCCAGGCTGCGGCAGAGGCTTTTGCATATGAATGCCCCGGCCATTTGCAACCTGTAATTACCTAACCGCAGCCGGGCCAGATAGACTCAGAGCTTCCAAGAGAAGGCCCAGGCCCCACAGCGGCTTGCATTGCTACACAGCTGAGCATCATCAGGGCAGCTGATTCTCGCTGCCAATTGCCCTGGAGGTCAATTCCTCCCAGTGATCCTACAACAACCAAGGCATAGCTACAACAAGACTGTGCACAAAGCCCACGAGGGGGTGCACCAAGAGTGTCCACCTCAGGTAACTGGGGAGGCTGAGCTACTGGGCCCTACAGGACACCTAGCACACAAAGCCACTCTATCAACACAGGGAAGCAACCAAAATGCGGAGACAAAGAAACAGGTCACAAATGGCAGAAATGGAGGAAAGCAAACGATTGGATATAGAGTTTAAGGCCACGGTTATAAGGTTTTTCAAGAATTTTATGGAAACCGCCGATAAATTTAATGAATCCCTCAATAAGTATAGGGAGACCATGGAGGACATGAAAAAGGACCAACTAGAAATTAAGCATACACTGACTGAAATAAAGAATAATTTACAGAGATCCAGCAGCAGAAAAGAGGATCCCAAGAATCAAGTCAAAGATTTGAAATACAAAGAAACAAAAAATACCCAACCGAAAAAGAAAAAAGAAAAGAGATTCCAAAAATATGAAGATAGTGTAAGGAACCTCTGGGACAACTTCAAGCGTACCAACATCAGAATTATAGGGGTACCAGAAGGAGAGAGAGGGCAAGATATTGAAAACCTTTTTGAAGAAATAATGACAGAAAACTTCCCCTACCTGGTGAAAGAAATGGACTTACAAGTCCAGGAAGCGCAGAGAACCCCAAACAAAAGGAATCCAAGGAGGACCACACCAAGACACATCATAATTAAAATGCCAAGAGCAAAAGATAAAGAGAGAATCTTAAAAGCAGCAAGAGAAAGACAGTCAGTTACCTACAAGGGAGTACCCATACGACTGTCAGCTGATTTCTCAACAGAAACCATGCAGGCCAGAAGAGAGTGGCAAGAAATATTCAAAGTGATGAATAGCAAGAACCTGCAACCAAGATTACTTTATCCAGCAAAGCTATCATTCAGAATAGAAGGTCAGATAAAGAGCTTCACGGATAAGAAAAAGCTAAAGGAGTTCATCACCACCAAACCAGCATTATATGAAATGCTGAAAGGTATTCTTTAAGAAGAGGAAGAAGAAAAAGGAACTCTTACCATTTGCCACAGCATGGATGGAACTTGAGAGCGGATAAATACCACAGGATCTCACTCATTTGTGGAATATAATGAACAACATAAGCTGATGAACAAGGACTGATCCAGAGACGGAGAGGCATTGATTGGACTCTCGGGACTTGGAGGGAAGGTAGGGGAGGGTGGGGGTAAGGGGGAAAGATCAACCAAAGGACTTATATGCAAGCATATAGGCCTAACCAATGGACATGGACAACGGGGGGGTGAGGGCATGAGCGGGGGTGGGGGGCGTGGGGGGTAGAGGGTAACGTGGGGACAAGGACACATATGTAATATCTTAATCAATAAAAATATATTAAAAAAAAAAAAAAATTCAGCCTTGACCGGTTTGGCTCAGTAGATAGAGCGTCGGCCTGCGGACTGAAGGGTCCCAGGTTCGATTCCGGTCAAGGGCGTGTACCTCGGTTGTGGGCACATCCCCAGGAGGGGGCGTGCAGGAGGCAGCTGATGGATGTTTCTCTCTTATCAGTGTTTCTAACTCTCTATCCCTCTCCCTTCCTCTCTGTAAAAATCTCAATAAAAAATATATATAAAAAAAGAAAATTCAGATAAGCAAGCAAGCAAAAACAAACCTCAAAGGCCACTTTAGACAGGTATTGGTGGCGTGTGGGACAGATCAGAAGCTGAGAGTTGTCAGGAGGAGGCTGATGACGAAGCCCAGGCTGGGGAAGCATAGGCCTGGGTTTGGATGGTGGCGCGGAGGTGGGAGGGCGGGCGGGGGAGAACGTCCATATCTGTGAGGTTCTGCACGTGTTGACTGGGTGGGTGGAGGGAGGGGAGATTTGAGGATGTGGGTTCTGGCTGGTGTGCTTGGTGGCACAAGGGTCACTCACTGGTCAAGGGAGGGGTGGGGGCAGCTGACCACAGCAGCCTGGGTTGTCCTGGGGTGAGTGGAGGCCAAGCAGAGAGCTGGTGGATTCTTCAGTGAAGCCTACGGTCTGGGGAGACAGCTGAGCCTCACCTTGGGCTCAGCCCTGGGGAGCCAGGGCCCGACTGACCACCTTGGTCCCCTCCAGGAGCGCCTGGCAGTGCTGGACAGTCAGGCCGGGCAGATCCGGGCTCAGGCCGTGCAGGAGTCTGAGCACCTGGCCCGGGACAAGAATGCCTCCCTGCAGCTGCTGCAGAAGGTAGCTGGGGACGGGGGGGGGTGGGGGTGGGGGTGGGGGTGGGGTGGGAGGGTGCAGGGCTCCCCCTTTGCTTGCTGCATCTCCTCCCTGCGTCACCCCCACTCCTTTCTGATTCTCTGCCGCTTTGGGTTTGCAGGAGAAGGAGAAGCTGACGATGTTGGAGAGAAGATACCACTCACTCACGGGAGGCAGGCCTTTCCCGAAGACCCCGTCGACCCTCAAAGAGGTAGTGGTGGGGTCAGCCCAGCTTCAGGCCGAGGGGTCTGCCTGGGAGGTTCTGGAGCAAGGCGGCACTTTCACCCCAATGGCTGAGACTGAGGATGGGGCCTGTCCCGGACAGAGATGGGAGTGGGAATGGTCCTGAGGCTGGGATTTGACTTGATGGCTATCAGCTGCTGCTGCTGCTGTCACATCTTCTTTTTTTAAATGTATTTTTAGCCCGACCAGCATGGCTCAGGGGTTGAGTGTCGACCTATGAACCAGGAGGTCAAGGTTTGATTCCTGGTCAGGGCATAGGCCCGGGTTGTGGGCTCGGTCCCCAGTGTGGGGCATGCAGGAGGCAGCTGATCAATGGTTCTCTCTCATCATTGATATTTCTATCTCTCCCTCTCCCTCTCCCTTACTCTCTGAAATCAATAAAAAGTATATATAAAAATGAAATATATTTTTATTGATTTTATTTTTTTAAAATATATTTTATTGATATTTTACAGAGAGGAAGGGAGAGGGATAGAGAGTTAGAAACATCAATGAGAGAGAAACATAGATCAGCTGCTTCCTGCACACTCCCTAATGGGGACGTGCCCACAACCAAGGTACATGCCCTTATCGGGAATCAAACCTGGGACCCTTCAGTCCGCAGGCCGACGCTCTATCCACTGAGCCAAACCGATTAGGGCGTTTTTTTTTTATTGATTTAAGAGAGGAAGAGAGAAAGGGAGACAGAAACATCAGTGAGAGCCCGGCCAGCATGGCTCAGGGGTTGAGTGTGGACCTATGAACCAGGAGGGCTTGTTCGATCCTTGGTCAGGGCACATGCCCGGGCTGCGGGCTTGATCCTCAGTGTCTGGGGCGCGCAGGAGGCAGCCGATCCATGGTTCTCTCTCATTCGGGCTGGGCTGGGGGGCTGGGTGGAGTGTGAGGGGTGAGCACTCACCAGGGCCCTCTCTGTAGGCTGACCTGCTCATCCCCGAGTCCTCAGGGCCTGTCCCCGGGGTCATCTGGGGCGGGCGCCTCCTCTGCCCCCTTTTCCCCACCCGCTTCCGCTCAGCTCTGCTCCAGGGCACAGGAGGCCATCTCAGCTACTGCCTGCTCTGCCTGGGCTCCTCCCTGGGGCCCCGTTGAAGGGCGTGTGGCAAATCCCCTGGCCAGAGTTTGCAAGTTTGAGTGAGTTCGATGTGCAGCCCGTAAAAAAACGAGAGCACTCATTTGCATATAATTTGCATGTATTCTGCATGCCATTTGTCAGTTCTCACAGACACTGGGCCCTCTAGCGTCTGTGCTGTCTGTTCGTTTTCTATGACCCTGGAGGCAGCCAGCCTCCGAGCTAGGCCCAGGCTCCCTGCTGTGCCCCCAGCACCTGGGCTTCTAAGGAGATGCTCAGGGGGTATTACAGTCCCGCCCTCCCACCCCACAGTCTGTGCTGGCATCTTTCCTGCCCCCGCCTTCGGTGCTTACGGTGGGCAGGTGAGAGCCCCGCCCATACTCGGGGTGTTGTCTGGAATGGAGTGGAGGCCCTGAGGTGTGACGTTTGGGTATCTGATGCCTCCCCTCTACCTTGCCCCCCCCCCCCCCCCCCCCGGCACCAAGGGCCCTGGCCTGGCAGAGGCACCCGCGTGGACCTGTGCTTCTGCCGCCTCCCCCGGCTCCTGCCTGACAGTGAGGTGCCAGCCCCTGAGCAGGCCCACCTGTGCCCCGGGGCCGCCTGGTGGGTCCCTGGATGCCCCTCGTGCCTGGGCTGGGAGCGGGTTTGTCCTCAGGGTAGCCGTGAGGGAGAAGGGCACCTGGATAAAGGGGTGGGGTGGCTCCCTCTGGCCCAGGCCTGGGGGCTTCCTGCAGTCCTGGCAGCTGGCAGAGGGCAGGCTGTGCCCTGGCAGGAGGGCGTGTGTCCAGAGGGGTCTGAGCAGCCTCTGCTTCTGCACGCGCATCCCTGGCCCGTGGGCAGGACCGTCTCTGGGGTCCCAGTCCCATTAGCCTCTCATATCCCCTCCTGCGCCCCGGCCTTCCCCCAGCGCGCAGGGTGCTCAAGCAGCTAAAGGGGATGGGGGCACCTCGCCCGTGCCCACAGCCCTGTGCCAGCCCCGCCTTTGCAGCCTCTGCCTCCCAGGACCGATTCCCACCTGCTGCCTTCCTGCTGGCTGCCCTCTTCCTCCACTGCCCTCCCACCTTCCCCGAGGTGGGTGGCGTGTCCCTCTGCCCTCAGCCCACCGCGTGGCTCTGTCTGCTCGCCCGCTCCCAGCTCAGGGCCAGCCCCGGGCGTGGTCAGTGCTGTGGGCCTGGTTGGCTGGCCTCCCGGCTGGGATAGACTCATGTGTGTGTCCTGGAGTGGCGCCCTGTCTCTCTGCCCTCAGCACTTTCACGACAGCCCTTTCCTCCCCTTTCTGCTCCTTTTCCTCCCTTCCTTCCTCGCCTTCTTCCCGCGCCTCCTGTTTCTCTGACATGACCTTCCCTCCGCTCCTCCCACCCTCCCTCGCTTTCCCAGCTGGAGAGGCCGCTGCCCCCCGCCGTGCACTTAGAGCAATGGTACCAGGAGCTGATGGCCGGGCTGGGGACCCCCGTGGCCGCCTCCCCTCGCTCCTCCCCCCCCCCTCTGCCCACCAAAGCCTTTCGTCAGCTGCAGGTAACCCCCTCTTCACCGCCCGTCCCTCAGCCTGTGCCTCTCTGCTCCGAGTCCTCCTGCCACACATGCCACCTGAGACGGTGCCACCTGAGACGGTGGGGTCAGCCCAGCCAGGGCGGCCTGGGGCCCCTGGACCTGAGGGGGCACTGAGGCTTCCTCACGGCAGCCATCCTGGCATTTTTCTAAGCCGGCGGGCCAGCTCTGTGAGGCCAGAGGTGGCGGTGGGACTGCCTGCCAGCGGGAGGGTGGGGCGGCCTGGGGCTCTGCTCCGTTCCTGCGCCCGCCCGGGCCCCACGCACCCCTGAGCCTGTTGCACTAGAGTCAGTGTGGCCTGGAGAGCACAGCATTTTGCTCTCCTGTCTTCCCGGGGGTCACTGGGGGCAGGACAGAAGGAACAGAGACTTTGAAGTGAGAGCCCTGAGGACAGGCCCGAGCCCCCTGGTGCTGCCGTGGGGGAGGGGCCGCTGGAGCTGGCTGTGGGGGGGAGTGTTTGGATAGGCTCCTCCCAGCCCCCCCGCTGGCCTGCCGTGGTGCCCAGGCCCCACCACTAAGCTCCATGTCCCCTTGGGAGAGTTGGGTTCGTGGATGTGGGGTGCCTCTCCAGACACTGGGGCTCCGAGGAGATGAGTGGGAAGGAGCGGAGCCTGAGGATCAGGGTTCTTGGCTCCGAGGCCTTCCTCCCCCGCGTGGATGCTGTGAGCGAGCGTGGCCGCCCCTTAGCCTGGCCGCTCCCGTCCTTTCGTAGAGAGGAATCCGAGGCCCAGGCCACACGGCTGGTAGTGGCCGAGCTGGGACCACAGGGAACCCCGGCCACCCACTGGCCTTCTGTACAACTCTGCCCAGCGGGTGTGGGCCCCTCGCATGGGTCCATTTACCAGGTTCTTCTGAGACACAGGGTTGGCCAGGGACTGGCCCCAGGAGGCACAGCCTGGCAGGCTTGGCAGCTGCCAGTACCTGCCTGTTAGGCTGCCCAGGAGGCTCCCTGCTGTTGTCATCTGGAGACTGGCCTTGGCCACAGCCGCCTCGGGGCCTGGGGTGGAACAGTGGGGGCGCCTGGGGTGGGTGGAAGAGTGGGGGCCTGGGATGAGGTGGAACAGTGGGGGCTGGGGGCCTGGGATGAGGAGGAACTGTAGGGGTGCCTGGGGGAAGGGGGGAACAGTGGGGGCTGGGGGCCTGGGATGAGGAGGAACTGTAGGGGCGCCTGGGGGGAAGGGGGAACAGTGGGGGCTGGGGGCCTGGGATGAGGAGGAACTGTAGGGGTGCCTGGGGGGGAGGGTGGAACAGTGGGAGCCAGGCCACTAGGCAGCATCTCTCCTCCCCAGGTGTTCCGCTCCAAGATGGATGGGGAAGCCCCCAGCCCCCCTGCCCACACCTGCGGCCCCCTGCCCTCCTCCTCGGGCTCCTCCTCCTCCTCCTCTCAGCTCAGCGTGGCTGCCTTGGGCCGCAGCCCTTCCCCAAAGGTCTGAGGCTGCTGTGCAAACAGGATGGGGGGGGGGGTGCTGGAGACCCCATACTGGGGAGAGGCCAAGGCCATCGTGGAAGCCTTTGGGGGTCTCCTGAGCCTCAGGTCCCAATGCCCCGAATCCCTCCAGAGCGCGCCCCTCGCCCAGAACGGCCCGGGCAGCCTCCCCCGCACCCTGGCGGCCACGCTGCAGGACATCGAGACCAAGCGCCAGCTGGCCCTGCAGCAGAAGGGTGAGTGCCCCGGTCTGCCTCCCCTTCCCCCTCCCCCCGCACCTTTCACAGGTTGTTTTCTTTAATGGGGACCCCGACAGCAGAGAGGACTTAGACACCTACGGGGAGCCACCCTGGGTGCTTCTCAGGGGCAGGGACCCTAGGGGGTGGGGTGCCGTGAGCGCTTGCCTAGAGGGCCCCATAAGCAAGGGAGTGGATTTTGACCGAGTGGGGGCTGCATCACCCTGTCTGGAGGCAGGGGGTGGACTTGACCCCGGAAATCTCCTGAAGATACTGCTCTGTGGCCCAGGAGGCTTGTTGCTTGAGGGCATTTTGGTTAGCCCACGTCTGCCCCTCTCTCCTCCCATCCCCTCTGTCTCCACCTTCCTCTGCCGGGCCCCCCACAGTCCAGCTGCTTCCCGCCGAGCCCCTCCCCGCTGCTGGCCCAGCAGGTAGACGTGGTCACGGACGGTGCTCTGGCTGGGCAGCTCCGCCCCGGTGTCTGCATGGTGCACTCTGTCCAGCCCCAGTGCCCGGCGGCAGCTCCCGGCTGAGCTGGGCTGGGTGTCAGCTGCCTCCCCCCTCAAGCTGAGCTCTCTCCGGCCTCAGCTGTGCTCCCAGTCCCCGCCCCCCCCTTCCTGCTGCTGTTGCTCCTGCGTCTGCGTTGTGGCTGGTTCTGCACGGACTCCCTGGTGCCCTCTCTTCCTCTCCCTTCCCCAGCGGGCAGGGCAGGCGCATGTGCCCCCATCTGCAGGCCTTGCTGCCAGGGCACCACCTGGGCAGGCTCAGTGCCCTGTGGGCTCAGGATGCAGAGAGCTGACGCCAGGCGGTGCAGCTGGGCCAGATGGGCCTGAGCATGGGCAGGGCAGCTGCACCCAGTGCCAGGGCCTCGGGGGGCAGGGGGGAGGCTGGCTGGGGCCGATGTAGGTGCCCTGCGCTACCCTCTCCTGCTCGCTCCTTCCGTCTGGCTGCGATGCTGCCAGCATCCTCCCTGGGTGGTGGGCTGCCCCCTGTGACCCACCTGTCCCTCCTGCAGGGCAGCAGGTGATTGAGGAGCAGCGGCGGAGACTGGCCGAGCTGAAACAGAGAGCGGCGGCTGAGGCTCAGTGCCAGTGGGATGCCCTGCACGGGGCACCCCCCTTCCTGGCAGGCCCCTCGGGCTTCCCCCCCCTCATGCACTCTATCCTGCACCACCTGCCGGCGGGGCGGGAGCGCGGGGAGGAGGGCGAGCACGCCTACGACACGCTGAGCCTGGAGAGCTCGGACAGCATGGAGACCAGCGTCTCCGCGGGCGGCAACTCCGCCTGCTCCCCGGACAACATGTCCAGGTACCCGCCCCGCCCCATCGAGCCCGCGGTGCCGGCTCTGCGTCCCCCACACGGGACTCGCCACCCCTGCCAGATGCCTCCTCAGCCTCCCTTCCTTCCCCAGTGTGAGCAGCCGGGAGGTGGGGAAGCTCGAGGAGATGGAGAAGATGCTGAAGGAAGCTCATGCGGAGAAGAGCCGCCTCATGGAGTCCAGGGTGAGGCAGATCTGGACACGCAGCCCGAGGCGGGGGTTGGGGGGGGTCCCAGCATCGCCGCCCGCCTGCTGAGGGCCAGCGCTTTTAGCCGTGTCACCCACATGATCCTGGCAAAATTCCCTTGAGGAAAAGAGTTGAGGGACAGGGAGCCTTGGTGAGATTCATGTTCACAGCTTGTAGGAAAAGAGGGGCAGCCCAGGATCCGCCACCATGGCTTTCCTGGGTGGGAATTCCATCTGTGTGCTGACTTCTGTGGACGCTGTGGCCTCCATGGGACTTTTTAAAAAAAATATATTTTATTGATCTCAGAGAGGAAGGGAGAGGGAGAGAGAGAGAAACATCAGTGATGAGAGAGAATCATTGATTGGCTGCCTCCTGCACGCCCCCTATTGGGGATGGAACCCACAACCCCAGGCATGTGCCCTGACCCTGACTGGGAACCGAACCATGACCTTCTGGTTCATAGCTCGACCACTGAGCCACACCGGCCGGGCAGGGACTTTTGATTCCTGTCTACCTGAGTGGCTGTCCTTCCTCCTGGGATGTTAGGAAAAGCAGCAGGTGGGGGTGAGGAAGCGGGAAGGGAGAAGGCATATGTCCCAGGCAGCGCAGAGGTGTTGGCGGGGGTGGGGGTGGGGGTAGGAACCTTGGGGTGTAGTGGGGGCTGAGGGGAGCCGTGTCTCCTTCAAGTTGGCCTGGAGCTGGGACCACACCAGAGAGGGACCGTACTTCACCCTGCACACAGCCAGGCTGAGGAGCCCAGGCCTGGAGGGAGTTAGACACGGGAGCTGCAGAAGCTGCCCCAGAGCGGGCGAGTTCACAGCGCCTGTGGCAATGGAGAGCAGGGACATTTTGCTGAGGTTTAGGCGAGAAATGGCAGAGGGGATAATGGTATAAAAGTGATGATCGTGATTCAGACATAGACCATCACGGGCGTGCTCTGTGGTTCACTATTGGTGTTAGTGACTAAAGTCTTTCCCGGTGGCTCTCATAGGCGCGTTCCCTCCTCCGGAATGTGGTTGGAGTACAGATGTTCCTCACGCGGACTTTCCAAGAGCCTTGGCGGTTAGGGAGGGCCTCTGAGTGTATTCACTGTCAGAAGTTGTTGAGATTCTCCGTGTTTTAGGAATTCAGCTAAAACGACAGGAGCCCATGGATTTATCGAGTGCGTCCCTCCTGCTGGAGCCAGTGCTGGGCATTTAGATAATGAGCTGGTTTAACTTTCACTAGCGTCACAGGAGCAGGCACTCTGGCCCCGTTTTACAGATGAGGCGGCCGAGGCTTAGGGTTGACATCTTGTCAGGGTCCCCGGGTTGGCAGTGGTGGCCAAGCCAGGCTTTAAGCAGAGCACGTCCCTCAGCAGCACGGCGTGGGGGCGTGGGCGTGAGGACCAGGCTCCTCAGGCCAGGCTGCCCTCTGCGCGGGGGCCCTGCGCCCGCCCTGCTCCGCGGGGGGCTGGGGGTGGAGGCAGAGGGCAGCGTGGGCGCTGACCCCCGGCTGTGGCGAAGGAGCAGGAGCTGGGGCTGCGGCGGCAGGCCCTGGAGGAGGAGCGGCAGCGGCGGGAGCACGTGGAGCGGAGGCTGCAGAGCGAGAGCAGCCGGAGGCAGCAGCTGGTGGAGAAGGAGGTCAAGCTGCGGGAGAAGCAGTTCACTCAGGTGCGAGGCTGGGCTGTGGCGGGTGATGGGCTGAGGCGGGGCAGGAGGGGCAGGGACAGGCCAGGCCCCTGCTGGCGGGAGCGCAGCTCTGCTCTGGAGGAGGCTGCTGTTGGCTCAGCGCAAGCGGGTTCCCCAGGACACGGTCAGGCCCCAGGAGCAGAGACCCAGGGGGCTTGACCCAGCCAATGTGATGTGTGTGCTTGAGCGGGCGTGTGCACACGCATGTGTTCATGTGTGCAGGCATGTGGGAGGGCAGTGGGGGGTTGTGGGGACATCGCAGCCCTCTTGCTGACATCCAGGGTCAGAGAAGATGGTCTGAATAGGCCTCTCAGAGGTGGGAGCGGAAAGTTGAACCAGAGCGGCTCCCGTGGCCTCTCTTGGGGCCTGGTCTCTGCTCCCCAAATCTGTGCTGTCCCTCCTTCCCGCTTCCCCGACGACCTCCTGTCCCTGCGGCTTCATGGCTCCAGGCCCCACAGTGGACGGCCTGGCTGTGCTGATAGTTTCCGTCTCCAAGATCCTAGTCTCTCCTCGGGACAGGAGTCCGTCCTCGTACAGACACCAGCTCTGGGCTCTTTCCTTGCTCAGGAGACGAGCAGAACATTTAATTAACTGATTAATGCGCTAGCTCGAAAGGCAAGTCCAAGTGCTTTTAAAAAATATGTCTGGGGGGAACCAAGATGGCGGCGTAAGGTACAGACCTGTGCGTGCTGCCTCCCACAACAACATCGAGACTACCAACTATAAAACAAACAGTTGTCATTCAGAACCATGGGAAGGCTGGCCCAGTGGAAGCTCTACAACTGGAAGGAAAGAAAGAAGAGCATTGAGACTGAGTAGGCTGTGCAGAGGCTCCAAGAACGGAGGTACGGAGTCGCGCGCCAGGCTGGCTGCAACTGGATGCGCGGTTTTTTTCAATTAGAAGGGGATGCAGACTCTCAAATCCATTGAGACTATTTGGGGCAGAATCTTGAGGTCCCAGATCCCTACGGGGAGAGGCGGGACAGAGAGCGAGAGTGGCTGTGTCGCGGAGCTGCTTGCCGGCACTTGGGGACGCGAGCCGCTGAATCACGGAGAGGCGAGAAGACGCGGAGATGCCATTGCCCCTTGCTCCGCCCTGATGATTCCCGGGGACCCCGCCCTACTCAGTTTACATCCCCACCCAAGCTGTGCCAGTGGCACAAAGAGAACCACCGGAGCTTTTGCAGCCCAGCCCTGCAGAATGCAGATTTCAGCTCCTCGCATACATAAGGGACACACTCAAGAAGCAGAATCAGGTTCGGAGGAAGCCAGAGATGGACACAGCTGGGCCAGCGACGTGGAACTGCTGTACCAGCAAACGCACAGGCAGGTCCACCAGATCCAGTCTCACATGGGACGCTGGGAGACGGCAGACAGGCAGTCTGTGCACTTGGTAGAAAACGAAATCCAAGCAAGCATACCATATATTCAGCCACCAGGAACGCCTGGAGATTTTGTCCAGCAAGGAGCCGCCCAACAAAGGACAGAATGCCAAACTTCGTGTTGCTGAGACAGCTCCCGTGAGGCCGAGGCAGCCCCCGTAGGGCCGAGGTGGCCCCCGTGGGGCTGGGACGGCCCCCGAGAGGCTGGGACGGCACCGGTGGGGGTGGGATGGCCCCGGTGGGGTTGAGACGGCCCCGGTGAGGTTGAAACAGCCCCGGTGAGGTTGAAAGTGGCCCCGGTGAGGTTGAAATGGCCCCGGTAAGGCTGAAATGGCCCCAGTGAGGCTGAAACGGCCCGGTGAGGTTGAGACGGCCCCGATGAGGTTGCGACGGCCCCAGTGAGGTTGTGATGGCCCCGGTGAGGTTGCGACTGCCCCGGTGAGGTTGCAACTGCCCCGGTGAGGTTGAAACGGCCCCTGTGAGGTCGAGACGCCCCCTGTGAGGTTGAATTGGCCCCAGTGAGGTCAAGATGGCACCGGTGAGGTCGAAACAACCCCGGTGAGGTCAAAATGGCCCCAATGAGGTTGAATCGGCCCCAGTGAGGTTAAAACGGCCCTGGTGAGGTTGAAATGGCCTCAGTGAGGTTGAAACGGCCTATGTGAGGTCGAGACAGCCCTGGTGAGGCTGGGACGGCCCCGGTGAGGTTGAATTGGCCGCAGTGAGGCTGTAACGGCCGCGGTGAGGCTGTAACGTACCCGGTGAGGTCGAGATGGCCCCAGTGAGGCCGAAACGGCCCCTGTGTGGTTGAAACGGAGGTGAGGTTGAGACGGCCCCGGTGAGGTTGAGATGGCCCCGGTGAGGCTGAGACGGCCCCGGTGAGGTTGAACCAGCCCTGGTGAGGTTGAAACGGCCCTGTGAGGTTGAGGCGGCCCCTGTGAGCCTGAGACGGCCCCTGTGAGGCTGGGAAGGCCCCAGTGAGGCTGGGACTTCCCCTGTGAGGCTGAGATAGCCCCTGTGAGACTGAGACGGCCCCTGGAAAGCTGAGAAAAATACCACATGAACTCACTCATTTATGGATAATAAGGACCATTATAGACTGATGAACAAAAATGGATACAGAGGCAGAGCAGCATTGAGCAGAATGTCAAAACTACAGTGGGAACCCTGGGGAGTATTGGGGGGTAGGTGATCAACCGAAGGACTCATATGCATGCATATGAGAATAATGAATGGACACAAGACACTGGGGGGTGGGGGAAGCCAGGGGAATGTCAAGGGGGGGAAAAAGGAGACGTGTAATACTCTTTGTAATACTTTAAGAAATAAAAAAATATATATATATTTTTATTGATTTCAGAGAGGAAGGGAGAGGGAGAGATAGAAATATCAATGATGAGTGAGAACTATTGATCGGCTGCCTCCTGCACACCTCCTACTGGGGATTGAGCCCGCAACCTGGGCATGTGCCCTGCCCGGGAATCGAACCCTGACCTGGTTCATAGGTTGATGTTGAGCAGAGCATTGGCAGGCAGAAGGAGGAATGAGGTTGGGAGGGAAATGTCCCCATGTCTCTGGTCCCGGTCCTTGCCCTGTGGGGGCCAGGGACTCAGGCTGGGTGTGCCCAGGCCTCCTGGGTGGGGCCTGGGACCTGCCCTGTGGTGACAGCAGCCACAGCTCCTGATTCCCAGACCCCAGGGGTAGGCTGCTCAGGTTGGATTTGAGAAGTGAGAAAAAATAATCAGGTCATGGCTGGCCAGTGCGGCTCAGTGATTGAGTGTCGACCAATGAACCAGGAGGTCACAGTTTGATTCCCAGTCAGAGCACATGCCCAGGTTGTGGGCTTGATCCCCAGTGGGGGGTGTGCAGGAGGCAGCTGATCAATGATTCTCTCTCATCATTGATGTTTCTATCTCTTTTCCTTTCCCTTCCTCTCTGAAATCAATAAAAATACATTAAAAAAAGAAAAATAATCAGAACTGTGAGTTTCACTTCTGTGTTTGGGATCTTTGGCCAGGGCCTAATTCCCCTCCTGCTGGTCCGCGGCCACTGTGGGCTCTCTAGCCCCTGCCGTGGGCTGAGTGCGCTGGGGGCGGTGGGCCCAGGGGAGCCCCATTTTGGGGTGCCTCCTGGAAGGTGTGCATTTGTTTTTTCTTTAAACAATCTGTGACGTTTCCTTTCGTGCCATTCTAATGTTCTTCCCAGAAAGGACGAGCAGAGAGGAAGCAGGTACAGACTGGAGTTAGTCTTGGAGTTTCTGAGGTGGAACAGACCTCGGGATTAGATCGTTCAAAGCCCCATTGTCCACCTAAGGACACTGAGGCCCAGAGAGGTGCCCTGGGACGTCAGAGACCAGCTTTCCTGTCGGCTTCTCTTCCCAGAGCCTGCTCACAGCGGCCTCTTGCTTTATTCCACTCAGCCCCGGAGGGAGAGGAGCAGGGCGGCGGGCAGGGAGGGGGGGACAAGACAAGTATGGCTGCCCTCTGGGCCACTGCAGAGCCACGGCCACGTGGGCGAGGGAGGGAGGGTGCAGGCTGTGGGGTGCAGGACTGAAGCTCGGATAAGGAACGATGGAGCAGCAAGGAGACTGTGGACCCTGCCCTCTGCTCGCAGGCGCGACCCCTGACCCGCTACCTGCCCATCCGGAAGGAGGACTTTGACTTGAAGACCCACATCGAGTCCTCGGGCCACGGCGTTGACACCTGTCTGCATGTGGTGCTCAGCAGCAAGGTGGGCGTGGCCTGGGTGCTGGGCGTCGCCTGTGTGCGGGGAGGGGACCAGGGTCGGAGGCCCTCCTGGGCTTGGTCCTGCCCTGACATCGAGGTCTGGCTCAGGGCCGGTGTTCCAGCTTGAAGAGATGCTGGGGACAGGTTCCCGCGCGCCCCCCCCCCCCCCATACAGGCATAGGTGCTGGCACTTCTGTGAAGGTTAGGGTTCGAGGTTCAGGGAAGGAAGGGTCAGGGCGGGGCATTGGGTCCTTCCTCATTCCTGCCTCCCACCAGGTCTGTCGTGGCTACTTGGTCAAGATGGGCGGCAAGATCAAGTCGTGGAAGAAGCGCTGGTTCGTCTTCGACCGGCTCAAGCGCACCCTCTCCTATTATGTGGGTGAGTTCCCACACGGCTTCCCAGAAGCAGGCCCTGGGCTCACCCCGGACAGCTGGTCTTCCGGAAGAGGCCAAGCCCCAGTGGGGGCCACAGGCTCACTGGGTCTGCCCTCTCCTCCACCCCTGGCAAGTGTGCAGAGTGTCCCTGGGTCACCTCCATGGATTGGTCTATTCATTTACTTATTAAAACAATTTTTTAAAATATATTTTATTGATTTTTTACAGAGAGGAAGGGAGAGGGATAGAGAGTTAGAAACATCGATGAGAGAGAAACATCGATCAGCTGCCTCCTGCACACTCCCCACTGGGGAAGTGCCCACAACCCAGGTACATGCCCTTGACCAGAATCGAACCTGGGACCTTTGAGTCTGCAGGCCGACGCTCTATCCACTGAGCCAAACCGGTTAGGGCTAAAACAATTTTTTTTATTGATTTCAGAGAGAAAGGGAGAGGGAGAGAAATATCAATGATGAGATTAAATCATTGATTGGCTGCCTCCTGCACGCCCTCTACTGGGGACTGAGCCTGCAACTGCTCATGTACCCTGACCAGGAATCGAACTGGCCACCTCTTAGTTCCTGGGTCGATGCTCAACCACTGAGCCACCCAGGCCAGGCTCATCCATTTATTTACTCGGCAGCTGCTAAGCATCTGGTAAGCTCCAGGCACTGTTCTCGGCGCTGGTGATCCGCAAGGCGGCCGCAGCCCTCTCACGGAGCTTGTTGTCAGGAGGCAGCTAGAGCGTGATGGCTGGCTGGGCACTGGTCCTGGCGCCTGGGGCCCATTCATTTACCTCATGAGCGCCTGCTGTGTGCTGGGCACACACTTGGTCTCTGGACTTGACGGAGGGTTCAGTTCAGCCTAACCTCCATACAGAGGAGATGCACACAGTGGCGGCCCTGGCAGTGGGTCTCCCACATTCCTTAGCAGTTTGCCGAGGGAACGGGCTGGAGGCCATCCCAATGTGTGTGCAGAGCGCACTTTACAGGAACATGAGCAGCTCAGCCTGGCCAGGGGGAGCTTGGGGGTGGAGCCGGGGAGGGTGTGAGACAGGGCCAGAGGGACCTGTCAGCACCAGCCTGTACGTGGCCACCGGAGGGGCAGCCAAGGAGGCAGCGGTGCCCGGGCGGAGCCGGCAGAGACGCTGTGAGCTGTTTGCCGAGGCCGCGGATTAGAGTCGCCTCGGGAAGCTCAGGCCTCAGCATCAGGGGCAGAGGGTGTGCGGCCCAGGAGGGGCTGCAGCGGGACCGGGTCGATGACTTGGGCCGGAGAGGAGACGGGTGGGGAGGGGGCGCACTGCCAGCCACCGCCACCTGCGCAGCGACTGCCCGATGCCCGCCTTTGTGCCTGTCTGTGGTCTCTCCTTCACGTCCCGGGCTCGCTGTCCAGGATGTCGCTTGTCGGGCCTGGGCAGCGTGGGCCCCCAGCCACCTCCACTGAAGTGAGCCTCCTCCTTCCTGCCACCTGCCCCCAGATGCTCAGCACTTCCTTCCACTTTGTAATGTTAGAGTCGAATAGGTGAATGCGTTCATATAGTTCAAGATCAAAACACAGAAAAGGTTTAAATTGGGAATTACGCCCCCACTCTCGAGAATTGATTTCTTCTGAATCCATCTAGTGTTCCTCTTGTTTCTTGTTCATTCTCACCTGAGGATATTTTCCTATTGATTTTTAGAGAGAGTGGACGGGGGGGGTTGGGGGGGAGAAACATGGATGTGAGAGAGACGCACCCGACCAGGGCCTGGGATGGAGCCTACAACTGAGGTACATGCCCTTGACTAGAATCGAACCCAGGACCTTCGGTCCATGGGCTGATGCTCTGTCCGCTGAGCCACACCAGGTAGGGCCGTCGAGTGTCGCTTTAAGGGAAGCGGAACAAGCAGACGTGCACAGAGGGGAGCGCACCCCTTGTTTTCCTGAGAGTGTGCCTTAGCGGCCTTCTGCACCCGGAGTGTCCGTGTCCGTGTCCGTGTTTATATCCGGCTGCAGGTTAGAGCTCCTTCTGTCTGCAGAGCAGACGTCTCTGGCTGTCCTCACAGCTGCGGGGCCCGCACACGTGGGCTGGTTCGCCAGCCCTCCCCCTCGGGCACCTGGGCGGTTTGCAGTCTTCTGAGTACAGACACGCTGCGGGGAGCGGTGCCAGCGTGTTACTCTGCACACGTGTGAGGTGCATGCTCCTAAGTGTGCTTATTGGCTCAAGACAAACGGGTCGACACGGCCAAACCACCTGGTCTCCAGTTCAGACTCGCCCCTGCCTTCTCCAGACTTGACCAGAGTGGCTGTGTGACCCCCGATCGGGGTGGCGGTGTCCCGGTGGAGTTCTCACCCACCGTCCTGTGGCTGCGCGTGAGCCTGCGCGCCCCCCCCCCCCCCCCCCCCGTCCCGGGGCCTGGGCACCACCCCCTCCTGCGTCCCCCGCACCCCCAGCCTCTTCAGCGGGCCCTTGTTTCCTTTGCAGACAAGCATGAGACGAAACTGAAGGGGGTGATCTACTTCCAGGCCATCGAGGAGGTGTACTACGACCACCTGCGCAGCGCGGCCAAGGTGCGGGCGCCCAGGGCCTGCGGGCACTGGGCAGGCTGGGAGCGAAGGCCTCCACCGGTCCTGCAGTCTCGGGCCGCCCCTCGCTCCCTCTGTAAACTCCCCCTTCCTTCCTCCTCCTCCCCTTCTCCAAAGAGGTTTCAGCTTCACTCTGGTGACCGAGGTACCCTGCCTATAGACCAGTGATGGCGAACCCATGACACGCAAACTCATTTTTTTGGTTGATTTTTCTTTGTTAAATGGCATTTAAATATATAAAATAAATATAAAAAATATAAGTCTTTGTTTTACTATGGTTGCAAATATCCAAAAAAACTTCTATATGTGACACGGCACCAGAGTTAAGTTAGAGTTTTTCAAAATGCTGATACGCCGAGCTCAAAAGGTTCGCCATCACTGCTCTAGACAGTAACTACAATTACCGCATTTTTAAATATATTTTTTTATTGATTTAAGAGAGGAAGGGAGAGAGAGGGAAACATCAATGCTGAGAGAATCATTGATCGGCTGCCTCCTGCACGCCCCACACTGGGGATTGAGCAAGCAACCCGGGCCTGTGCCCTGCACGGGAATAGAACCATGACCTCCTGGTTCACAGATCAATGCTCAACCCCTGAGCCAGGCTGGCCGGCCACCTGCGCCGCTTCTGCAGCGAGGAGAACGTGTGAGATGAAACAGCCCTCACAGGAATGGCCCTTGGTGTCTGATCTGTGAAATTCTTTTGTGCCTGGGGTTGCTAAGGACCAGGGACCCACCTGGAAGAACATGACTGACAGGTCCCAGGACTGCGGGGCGAGGAGGGGACATCTCAGCTTGGACCACAGTCACACCAGGGGCCCAGGAGCATCAGCTTGGTTGGTGGAGGCTAGGCTTTGGGTCCATGTAGGGCCCAGCCCCGAGCCCCAGGTCGTCATGGGGACAGGGCGGGGCAGGGCGGATGGGGAGGCGGGCTGGAGAAAGCTGCGCGTCTGGGTGGCTCTGTCTTAGATGCTCCCCTTTCCCTCCACAGAGCCCGAACCCGGCCCTCACCTTCTGTGTGAAGACGCACGACCGGCTGTACTACATGGTGGCCCCGTCGGCAGAGGCCATGCGCATCTGGATGGACGTCATTGTCACCGGGGCCGAGGGCTACACTCAGTTCATGAACTGACGGGGGGGGGGGGGGCGGGGAGGGGGGGGGCTTCCTGGCCCTCAGGCTGGCCCAGGGCCCAGGGCCCAGGCCTGACCTCCTGCTCTCTGCTGGCCCTGGACACAGTCACCCCCTGGCCCAGGCTGCCTCCAGCGGTGCGTCCCGAGGCCCTGGGAGGGCCCAGCGGAGCCAGGGCTTTGGGAGCAGAGGCCTTTGTCCTGCTGGGAGGTGCTGAGCTCGGGCCTCCTGCAGAAGCAGAACCAGCCAGGGCTGGGGGCGGGGCGGGGCGGGGTGGGGCGGGGGGTTTCCGCAGCCCAGGAGCCCGGAACTTGGAATAACCCTGCAGGGTCCTGCCCTATGTGTTCTCTGTGTCAAGGACAATTACGGTACCAGAATCTGCCAAAGATCCCCTCTTGCCTCAGCCTCCTTTGCAGGGGCCGTGGGGGCCCGAGCAGGGCTGCCTCCAGAGTGGGGTGCAGCTCAGGCAGTGCTGCTCAGGCCCTGCTCTCACCCCATCGTCCGCCCGCATTTGTACTTTTATTACTTTGCTCAAGGGCCAGAGGCCTCACGTTTTATCTTTGAGGGGTCAGCCCCATCCCCTTTTTGCAGAACCATCACCATGGTCACCATAGTAACTGTTTCACTGCCATGGTTACATACTAATTGCCGTGGCTGTGTGGCTCTGCTCACTGCTGAAGCTGTGGCCCATCTGAGGGTACGTGCCATCATCTCTCCAGCCCAGGCCCTTAGGCATCTCATGTTGGGGAAATGGGACCTCACACCTCCCTCCCCAGCCCGTCCCCAGGCCAACGCACAGCTGCTGGCCCCGGCCAGCCCTCTCCCGTCCACTCGTGCCTTGCTTAGAGCCAGAGGGGATGAAGTCAGGGTATCTCGGCCCCGAGGAGGAGGAGGAGGCTGGAAGGGCCTTCCTCGGGTTCTGTGCGGGGCTCCCTGAGGAAGCCTGAGCCGGAGAGGAGCTCAGAGGAGGGGACCCTGAAGTCCCGCCTCCGAAGGGGATGACCATGGAGCAGAGGACGAGGCCTCCGGCGGCCTGGCTGCAGTCCTCCCGCCTTAACACTAAGCCCAGCTCCCCGCCCCCTCCAGTGCTGGGCCCGGGTTCGGGTCCAGGCTGGGTGGTTCTCAGTATTTGTAAGCATCTCAGCAGAACAATAAAGTATTTGGCGTGTGATTCTGGGGGGCTGCGTTGTGTGGGGCACTGGCTGAGGCTCACGGGGTAGGAGAGTTGGTTCTGCCCCACAAAGCAGGATTTCCACCTGGTGAAAAGTTCCAGGAGGGACCCAGGGGCCAATCCATGGCCTCCAGAGCCCTCCCCTGCCCCCTCCACTCGGAGGACTGGCGGGAGGCCCAGGAGGGCATGGGATCCCCAGGGATGGAGAAGGACGAGGCCGAAGGCAGGGACGCCTGCACACGTTTAATGAGGCGGGAGCTAGAGCCGCAGGAGGAGCTGAGGCCGACGGGGCAGGGCCGTCACCGCAGCAGGAGGCCGAGCAGAAGGGCAGCTGCGAGGCACAGGGGCTCCAGGAAAGCTGCCTGGGCCGCAGAGCTCAGCCGGTCGCCGTAGTGGTCCAGGAGCATCAAGGCCATGCCATTGGTCCAGCCGAACCCCTCCTGGAGAGAGCGTGGCCAGTGGCGAGGCCTCGGGGGAAGGCCCCCACGTCCTTCCAGGCAGGTGTGGGGTCCCCTGACCTAAACCCCGAAGGTCTAGCCAAGGGGTGCCAGGCTCCTCCCTAGGGACCCTCCCCCATGGGAGAACAGGCCTAGAGTGGAAGGTCAAGGTCAGTTGTGGGGAGAGCAGAGCCCCGTCATTCCCTGTAGGGTGTGGGCCCACTCACCTGGACTTCATACTCCCCTCCGCCACCTGGCTGTCCACCACTGCTGATGTCATACTGGGGACAAGAGGACAAGCTGTCCCTCACGACTGCAGTGCCCAGGAGGAGCCACTGGGGGCCGCCACTGGGCCTGGGGTTTGCAGAGCCAGACAATTCCCCCTCTCACCACGGGAGGCGCACTGGCGGGTCTGGCTCAGGGCCAGCTCACCTGAGTCCCCCACCCCGGCAGTGCCCGGGAATGGCCACTGGGGGCCGCCACGGGGCCGGGGCCTGGGCTTTGCAGAGCCTGAGGGGGGGCCCAGGGCCAGCTCACCTTCTCGTACATGGCTGACGTCTGGGAGTAGACACGGAAGTTGGTTTGGATCCAATTCTGCGCCAGCTGGAAAGCCACCTCCTGGGTCCGGGGTGAAGGAGACCTGGCCAGACCTAGGACACCCCGAGGAGGGCCTGAGGATGCAGAGCCCATCCCAGGGGCGCAGAGGGGGACAGGGCTGGCCTGTGCCCTCCTTCCTGGGACCGGGGGCCACTGGCTCTGACCGCGCCTGCGGCTGGAGAGAGAGGACCCTGGGACACGCCCATCCCTGCTCCTACCTCGGATGACCAGGTCCTGCAGGGGAGCCCAGGCGTTGGGGTAGTCCCACTGCTGGCCCGACTTCCGGAGCGAGGTCGGGACTCCGTGCTGGTAGGTAAGGACCTGGCTGTCCTGGAAGGTTCCAGAAGGCACTGTGACTGCGGGTGGGGCTGGTGGGGAGCCAGGAGGCAGGGCCCCCCTAAAGCAGAGGTTCCTCTCCTGGGCCTTCCCGTCTGGGCTCACAGCTGCCCCCTGGTGGCCGCAGTGGGACCCGCAGCTGAGACCCAGGAGGGCGTGGCGGCCACTGGCCAGAGCTCCCTGCTGGTTCCTGAGCCAGCGCTGCCCGCCCCCCTCACCTCCAGGTACTGGAGGGCCTGGTCCGCCATGGAGGGGTCAGAGAAGCAGCCGGCCCAGAGAGGAGCCAGGTTGGACGGGTAAAACTCGTGGTTCTTCTTTCCATGTTCGAGGTCATAGTCAAACCAGGCCCCTTTCTCCTGGTCCCACAGGACGGCCTCCAGGGCGGCCAGGCGCCGGGCCCGCAGGTTTCTGTACTTTGTGGCTTCAGCCTCATTCCCTGGGGGACACGTGATTTAGATGGAGTAACGGGCCTGCCCTTGGCCTCCTGCTGTGACCCTCAGGGGCCAAGAGGCCATGCCCACCTGGAGCCCGCCCCACCTCAGGCTCCAGGACCCGAATTCCCTGAGCAAAGGGGCCCTAGAACTCCCGGCCTGCACGGCCCTGTCCCGGGCTCATCCTCCGAAGGGCACTGGCTCGAAGGGCCGCCGCGGGGAGAGGGGAGGGGTTTGGAGGTGAGGACTAGGCACGACCTGCCCCGTGAGAAAATGGGGGAGTGGAGATGCGCGTAGGCCCCTGTGCACTCCCACCTGGGCTGCACGAGGGGGCAGGTACCATCGGGCTGCAAAGCGGGAGGCCCTTCACCCAAGTCCTCCTTCCCGCTCCTCCTGCCCAGCTGCTCACCCAGGTCCTCCACCCAGCTCCTCCTGCCCAGCCCCTCACCCAGGCTGGCGTGGAAGCTGCTCATCAGCCCCTCCGCCTGGCACAGGAAGGCGTTGAGGTCCACAGGCACCAGCTTGCTGGTCCGGATGCTGCTGAGCGAGCTGGGGTCCTGGCTCCCGATGAGCCAGCGTGAAGAGAAGTCCCAGCCAGACTCGGCCCCCGCCTTGAGCTCAGCCCACAGAGCCTCCCGGGCCCCTGTGAGGGGGGACAGAGGACAGAGGACGGGCCTGACCCAGCGGCAGGCCCCAGCCCCCAGCCCCCAGTCCTCCCTCCGCCGCTCACCTTCGGGCACCACGCCCGCCAGCTCTGCGTCCTTGCTGTAGGACTCTGGTCTGCGAGAGGAGAGTGGGCAGCCTGGCACGGGCGGCTCTGAGCCCTTGATGCCCAAGCTGGGGCCTGAGCCCTGGTGACTCAGTGGACCTGGGCCCACAGCCCTGATGGCCCACAGCAACCAGTCTCCCCATCTGAGAGGGGAGCCCGAGCCACCTGCCCCCCTGCCAGGGGCCTGATGACACTCGCACAGGAGGGAAGGCATGGGGGTGGAGAGACCTTCCCGCAGGGCCTCACCTGGGTCCCCCGTAAGGGACGTGGTAGCGACTCAGGATGTAGCTCTTCCCCCCGAAGCTCACAGAGACATTCCTCTTCTCAGCCCAGAAGTCCAACTCCAAGGCCAGGGTCCCGATGTTGTCCCTGGGGCAGAGCCAGGCACCCCTCAGGCCGGGCGCACCTCCCATCCCCCCTGGGGAGGCCTCAGGGACGGGAGCCCACGGGCAGCCCGAGGGGGTGCCCACCGGAGGAAGGCGGTGTCGTTGGTGTGAGCCACATAGCGGGCCATCATGAGGGTCAGGAGCGGCGGCTGGCTGCGCTGCAGGTAGTACACGCGGGCCCCGTTGGGAACATGCCCGTAGCTGCCAAGGAGGAGGTTGCTGACTGCTCCTGCCCGACCGACCACCAGAGCCAGGGCACACCCAGCTCCAGCGCCCGGCGCTGCTGGTCCTCCCGCCCCCGCCTGCAGGGCGGCCCCCTTACGTCTGCACCAGGTCCAGGAAGTTCTGCAGCATGCCCCGCACCGTCCCCTCCATCTCCGACAGGAGCAGCCCCTCCATCACCCAGTAGGAGTCCCTGGGGAGGGAAGGCTCCGTCATCCCAACCAGACCTCACCCGTCGCTGCCCTGCACGCTCAGGACACCCCGGCTCGGCTCGGGGCTCCCCCCACCTGGGCACTCACCAGTAGTAGAACTCGCGGAAGCGCCCGCCGGGCACGATGAAGGGGTGTTGTGAGTAGATCAGAGAGAAGCGCTCGGGCTGGCGGAGGACCTCTGGTCTCACCTGGAGCAGGAGAGAGGGCGCAGGGAGCCTGGACCCCACCCCTGCCCCAGGGCCTGGGCTGCAGGAGCTGCTGGGGGCTCTGCCCAGGCCTGGCTGCCGGGAGCCTGGTCTGCCCCACGTGCGGCCTGGCGTCCCTGCTGTGCTTGGTGGGGTGGAGGAGCCGACCATGTGCCTGGCACCAGCACATGCTCGCCAAGCAGCGGCCACTCTTAGGACCCAGGTGGCGGCCTGTCTCCTCCGGCTCCTTTGCCCCCCCCCCCCCCCCCGAGTCTCTGCTCCCACCACCAAGCCAGGCCCAGAGACTCAGGGTCCCCCATTCTCTGGCCATGACCTCTCCCCAGTGGGTGGGTGTGCATGGGCGTGGCCGAGGAGCAAGTGGGACCCGGTGGGGCCTGCTGGTGTCTGTCAGGCATTGGCACTGCTTCTTCCCTGCTAGTTCTGCATGTGAGCGTGGTTTTAGGGGGCGGGGTTTCGAGGGGAGCAGTGCTTGAGGCTCAGCTCCCGTGGGTGCCGGCTGAGGGAGCAGCACATGCCAACGAAGGAGCCCAGAGCCCCCTCTGCCTGTGGGTGCCAGGGCCTGGGCTAGGTGCTGTGCATTTTGGGCCAATCACTGCCCTCTCTGAGCCTCAGACAAAGGAGAGAAAGTGCCAACAGGCTGTGCCAATCGCAGGGCAGCAGCTACGTGGCCTGAGGGCCTCCGGAAGAGTCCGGCAGGAGAGGGAATAGCCACCCCGTGGGTTAGAGGCAGGACTGGGCAGCCTGGGAGGGCGGGGCAGGCTGGGTGTGCCTGGGGGCGGCGGGGGACTTCAGGGAGAGGTCAGGGGTTAGAAGGACATGTCCCCCTGACCCCTCTCAGAGATTCTTTATACAATTCTAATCGCTCTAGAACGCCGCTGTTCTGGGACCCGGGCCTGGAGGCTGTGTTCTCCGGGACTGCATCCGGATCTGGGCTCTAGGGCAGGTGGCCTCCCAACTGGGCACCCCTCTCAGCGCCATCCCCTGGGCTCTGGGCCCTGATACCTTCTTTCCCAGCTTCTTCCAGAGCTGGTGCAGCTGCCTGGCCCAGGAGCGCAGCTTGGAGTCCGCGATCTTCTCTAGGAATCGGGGGCTGGAAAGACAGGGGCCGGCAGGGGTCAGGGGCAGCCCCACTGGAGGGCCCTCTCTGCTCCTCGTCCGGGTTGTACCTGTCTTTCCAGTCCTCAGGGACCCAGGGCTGCAGCTCCTGCCCTGTGGCCTGGAAGTGCTCTTGGAGGAAGGCCTGCAGCTGCGGCCTGGGGACGCTGTGGTTGTGGGTGCTGGCCAGCGTGCGGAAGTGCTGCAGGACTTGGTCTGGGGCGGAGACACAGGGGGGATTCGTGGGAGCCGTGACCCCCTCCCTGATGGAAGGTCTGGCTCCTGCTGTCTTTGGTGGGAAATTCAGGAGCAGGTGGGGTCCCGGGCGCCTTACCTGGAGCGGAGGACAGCGGCATGTCCACGAACTGCTTGTCGTCCTGGTAGAGCTTGGCCATCTGCACTTGGTGCAGGAGCTCCCCGTGGCAGTAAATCTGGCTGCAGAGAGAGTCAGGGAGGGGCGGGTCAGGCCACGTCATCTGGGGAGAAGAAAGGCCAGATAGCTCTGGGCACAGTCCCCCACGGACACGGGCTGTGTGCGCCTGAGCACAGGTGTGGGAGGGCTTTGCGGGTGCTGGTGACATACAGGCTAAGAGAAGTAGGAGGGTCTTTGTGCAGCGAAGGACAAACCATTTTCTGAGCCCACAGTGGTTGTTGATTTGGAACAGTAGAGCACTTGGTGGATGAAAGATTAGCACTTTTTAAAAATATATTTTTATTGATTTCAGAGAGGAAGGGAGAGGGAGAGAGAGAGAGAAACATCAATGATGAGAGAGAATCATTGATTGGCTGCCTCCTGCACGCCTCCACTGGGGACTGAGCCTGCAACCCGGGCATGTGCCCTTGACTGGAATGAAATCTGGGACCTTCCAGTCCGCAGGCCGATGCTCTATCCACTGAACCAAACTGGCCAGGGCTATCATTGCTGTTTCTACCTCTCTCCCTCTCCCTTCCTCTCTGAAGTCAATAAAAATACAGTTAAACCAATAAAGATAAAGAGGGCTATCGGAACTGGGACGATCCCCCGAGGAGCTAGGAGTTCCAGCTCCACAGCAGGACCCACAGCCCAGGGTCCCACTGTCAGGAAGAGAAGTCCCCATGACTTCTGGCTGTGAAACCAGCTCAGGGGGTGGCTGAGTGAGACGAAGGGCTGCTGGAGTCCCAGGCACTCCTTTTAAAGGGCCAGAACATGGGCTTACTTGCTCAGAGCCCCAGCATTGGGGCACCAGAGACATATGGGGGGAACTGAGTTGTCTGGCATTAGGGTGAGAGCTGGAAGGGCAGCTTTCTCGCAGACAGAAGTGCTGGCAGAGGCCAGTGTTTCTTCTCTGAGCCCTCCCAAAGCTGGCAGGCAGGCATCACATCTGAGTCTCCATCATCCTGGCTCACACTGTTAGCCACACCCTGGGATTCTCTGAGTCCCTGCCCACCCAACTTTTGGGCCCAATCCAAGCCGTTTCTAGTGACTCTTCCATACAAATAGCCTGTCTTGGCTCATGCTTTGCATTTCCTAAAACCTCTCAAACAAGCAGCATCTAGCCTGAGCATGCCCCGTCCCTCTCACTAAGTGGCCCCAGGCCCAGCACTGGCAGCAGCCGACTTTGGTTGGCAGCTTGACCTCTCTTGGGCACCTCCAAGACCAACACAAGTAGCAGCCATCTGCAGGTTTCTTTATAGCTCATGCCAGGTGGCCCTGGGACACAGATAGTGGTCGACCTTTCTTGGCTTGCACCTTTGTTTTAGTTGCTCATTCCAAATGTCTATCAGATCATTGTGCGGAGAATGAAGGTGTGTTCCTTGGTCTGAAGAAATGTAACTCTGGGGTCCAAATCGTTGCACTATCTCTTGTTCTGGTCCTTATAGAATAGTTTGAGCATTTGCATCTACCACCGGGCATTTGAGGCCAGTCCAGAGGAGGCGTTCCTGTCGGGCCCGTTTGTGGCTTCTGAGTCTCCCACCTCAGTCCGGTGCCGGCTGCACGCATTCCTTCCCCCAGGAGTCTGCCCACAGCGTCTGCAGGCGGCCCTCTTGTTGGCAGACAGACCATTCTTGTTAGCATTTGGTGCTTCAGCAAGTGCACGTGGAATCTTCTAGATCCAGCCATCGCTGCATTGCTGCAGCCTCCCAGTGCCCATTGTTTTAGGAACCCAAGTGGCCATCTCACACGAGGACACAGATACCGACTGGCTGGCGCAGGTACCTGCTGATGAAGGGAGGGGCTCTTCTGATGGGCATCCGTGTCTTCCGCTTTAGTGCAGCCCTCAGGTCCCCATGACGGTTCCATGGGACTGTGCCACATGGGGCGTTGCTTTATAGACCAAGTTTCCATTGACCTTCTGCCAGACCCTGTGGCCAGGCCATAGCCACTGACTAAGGTCAGTCAAACCCAACACAGTGGCCACCAGGATGTCACTCAGCTCCCTAAGCAGATTGGGTTTTATCATCTTTAATCAGGTTGGCAGCCTCGCAAGCAGTGAGCTCGCTGCTCCCCTGGCCACTGCCGTCCACAGCCAGCGGCTCCCGGCTCCCGGCTCCCCTGGCCACTGCCGTCCACAGCCAGCGGCTCCCGGCTCCCCTGGCCACTGCCGTCCACAGCCAGCGGCTCCCGGCTCCCCTGGCCACTGCTGTCCACAGCCAGCGGCTCCCGGCTCCCCTGGCCACTGCCGTCCACAGCCAGCGGCTCCCGGCTCCCCTGGCCACCGCGTCCACAGCCAGCGGCTCTGCCAGCCCGCTGAGAGCTGGGAGAGGGCACACTATTCAAGTGAAGGGCAGTGGGATCCGGCAGCTCCTGGTGGTTCCACAGTCAGGCCAGGGGAAGAGCACCTGCTGCTGAAGGGACCGCGATGCCCCCACCCCTAGGAGCTCGCCCCACACGACCATGCATCTCATTCCGGTCTCTTCCGGCCCCTCCCTGTGGAGCAGGTCGCCCGAGGCATTATGGGCATTTCAGGTTTCAAGGTGACCTTACGTCTTTCAGTCGCAGGAGTGGCTTCCATTGTCTGATAGCAGGCTAGCCACGGCCTCTCCAGTAGCCATTCTCTAGTCCAAAGTCTCAGCAGCCAGGCCGGGAGGTGCCCCAGGTGTCTGCTCCGTGCCAGCCTGTGCGCCCAGAGGCTGTCTGTGTGGACTCTGGCAGCATTAGGTTATCACCGTGGTGTCCAGTGAACATTGCCTGACAGCAGATCTGTCAGCCTTTTACTTTATGGCACTTGTTTTACTTTTTAATTTTTTAAAATATATTTTTGTTGATTTCAGAGAGGAAGGGAGAGGGAGAGAGAGAGAGAAACATCAATGGTGAGCGACTGTCTCCTGCATGCCCTCCACTGGGGATCAAGCCCGCAACCCAGGCATGTGCCCTTGACCGGAATCGAACCTGGGACCCTTCAGTCCACAGGCCGACGCTCTCTCCACTGAGCCACACCAGCGAGGGCAACACAGCCTGCTTAAACACTCCAGCTTCCATCTGCACTTCCACTTTAACCTCATCAACTCCTGCATCCCGCACCCTCTCCATCGGACTGTCGCCCCTTTCAGGGTGGCCTTGGTCACCACAGTGCACGGGGGTCTTGCGTCACGGAGTCCAAGACGCTTCTCCACGCTCTGACCATCTGCCCACTCACATGCAGTAACCTAAGGGACTGGACCCTCTCATCAATATATTTTAAAAAAATATATTTGTATTAAAAATATATATCTATATATATTTGTATTGATTTCCAAGAGGAAGGGAGAGGGAGGGAGAGATAGAAACATCAATGATGAGAGACAATCATTAATTGACTGCCTCCTGCAGGCCCCACACTGGGGATCAAGCCCACACCCCGGGCCTGTGCCCTGACTGGGAATCAAACCGTGACCCCCACACTCAACCACTGAGCCACAATCAATCATCAGCAAGTCCGATCAGCTCAACCTTCCAAGTAGATCCCATACTGGACCACTGCTCGCCTTCCTGGTCCTACCACGGAGGCCCCAGCCCCGGCCCCTCCCCGGAGCCCCGATCACCTCCCGTGATTCCCACGGGTGCCCAGCCGCCCAGGCCTCTTCCCGGTCCCTGCGCAGTGGCCTCAGCGTGAGCTGCATCTCCAGGCCTGGGCTGTCTCCTCCCAGAGCCACCCGGTGGCTCCTGCAGATTCTGCTCTGCATCGCGCCTCAGACGCCCCTCCTGCCTGCAACGCTCTCCTCTCCGCGCCCCCACGAGCGGCTCCCTGACTTCCTGCTGCTTTTACTTGTGCTTCTAGCACCGGTCCCTGTTACTCCTTTCCTGGCTGGGGAGGTGGGGCTCGTTTTTCTTGTTCACGGAGCAGCCCCAGGGCGAGTGAGAGCTCAGCAAACCTTGTCCGATGGGAGCGACCTGCGGGCTGGGGAGGCAGACAGGGCCGCTCACCCCCAGGAGTTGCAGGTGGAAGCCATGGCCCCCGAAGGTTTAACTTGTCCTTTGTCATAGGGGTCAGAGGTCAAACCCAGGAGCTGTCTCTGACGCCCCTCCCACATCCAGGCTCGGGAAGTTAGGCAGAACACTTTCTAGAACATTCCTGAGGACAGCCCCGTGCGGTTCAAGGAGCAGCTTGGAGGGAGGGTGGGGAGGAGGCTTGGACGGGCGCACAGGTGACCTCGACCAGCGCTCCCTGTGGGCGGGTGACGCTCCCCACACTGGGACCATGCCCAGCACAGCCTGCTCCACAAGGAAGCCGATCTCCTCTCCTGCCCTGCCCTCAGGCCTGAGCCCCATCCCACCCCAACCCTTGACCCTCAGCCTCCCCCACCAGCCCCAGCGCCATCCCCACTCCTACCTCTCACAGGGGTGAGCAGGTCCCACTCCTACCTCTCACGGGGGGGGGGGGGGGGGCGGGGGGAGGCAGGTCCCACTCCTACCTCTGGGGGGGCAGGTCCCACTCCTACCTCTGGGGGGGCAGGTGCCCACTCCTACCTCTGGGGGGGGCAGGTGCCCACTCCTACCTCTGGGAGGGGCAGGTGCCCACTCCTACCTCTGGGGGGGGCAGGTCCCACTCCTACCTCTCACGGGGGGGGGGGAGGCAGGTCCCACTCCTACCTCTGGGGGGGGCCAGGTCCCACTCCTACCTCTGGGGGGGGCAGGTGCCCACTCCTACCTCTGGGGGGGGCAGGTCCCACTCCTACCTCTGGGGGGGGCAGGTCCCACTCCTACCTCTGGGGGGGGCAGGTGCCCACTCCTACCTCTGGGGGGGGCAGGTCCCACTCCTACCTCTCACGGGGGGGGGGGGAGGCAGGTCCCACTCCTACCTCTGGGGGGGGGCAGGTCCCACTCCTACCTCTGGGGGGGGCAGGTCCCACTCCTACCTCTGGGGGGGCAGGTCCCACTCCTACCTCTGGGGGGGCAGGTCCCACTCCTACCTCTGGGGGGGCAGGTCCCACTCCTACCTCTGGGGGGGCAGGTCCCACTCCTACCTCTGGGGGGGGCAGGTCCCACTCCTACCTCTGGGGGGGGCAGGTCCCACTCCTACCTCTGGGAGGGGCAGGTCCCACTCCTACCTCTGGGGGGGGCAGGTCCCACTCCTACCTCTGGGGAGGGGCAGGTCCCACTCCTACCTCTGGGGGGGGCAGGTCCCACTCCTACCTCTGGGGGGGGCAGGTCCCACTCCTACCTCTGGGGGGGGCAGGTCCCACTCCTACCTCTGGGGGGGGGCAGGTCCCACTCCTACCTCTCACAGGGCGGGGGCAGTGCCTCCTGGGACCCCAGACCCAGGCCCAGCAGCAGCAGCAGGAACAGCTGGCAGGCGCCTTCGGGCATGGTGGCTGCAGCCAGTGGGCGAGCTCAGGCAGCTGCTGCCACTGGGGCACTGCCAGGCCCACCTGCCAAGGCAGCAAAGTCCACGTCTGAGGCGTGGCCACCGGAGGGGCAGCCAAGGAGGCAGCGGTGCCCGGGCGGAGCCGGCAGAGGGCAGGACGCTGTGAGCCGAGGCCGCGGATTAGAGTCGCCTCGGGAAGCTCAGGCCTCAGCATCAGGGGCAGAGGGTGTGTGGCCCAGGAGGGGCTGCAGCGGGACCGGGTCGATGACTTGGGCCGGAGAGGAGACGGGTGGGGAGGGGGCGCACTGCCAGCCACCGCCACCTGCGCAGCGACTGCCCGATGCCCGCCTTTGTGCCTGTCTGTGGTCTCTCCTTCACGTCCCGGGCTCGCTGTCCAGGATGTCGCTTGTCGGGCCTGGGCAGCGTGGGCCCCCAGCCACCTCCACTGAAGCGAGCCTCCTCCTTCCTGCCACCTGCCCCCAGATGCTCAGCACTTCCTTCCGTCCCTTTTGAAAATTTTTATTGTGGTTTAAGTACATGTAACACAAAATTTGCCATTTTAACCTTTTTGTTGTTGTTAATACTCACCCAAGTATATGTTTTCCATTGGTTTTTAGAGAGAGTGGAAGGGAGTGAGGGAGAGAGAAGAGATAGAAACATCAATTGATTGCCTCCTACATGAGCTCCAACCCGGCCGGGGATCTAACCTGCAACCCAGGTACATGCCCTTGACCATAATTGAACCCATGACTCTTCGGTGCCTGGCAGACACTCTAACCATTGGGCAACACTGGTCAAGGCTCACCGTTTTTACCATAAGTGCACAATTCAATTCAATTCATGCCTCATTCACAATGTTGTGCAATTATCACCATCATCTATTTCCAAATGCTTTTTTATTTTTTATTTTTTTAAAATTGTTTTATTGCTTAAAGTATTACAGAGTGTTATATGTCTCCTTTTTTTTTCTCCCCTTGACCCTCCCCTAGCCTCCCATGCCCCCAGTGTCTTGTGTCCATTGGTTATGCTCGTGTGCGTGCATACAAGTCCTTCGGTTTCCAAACGTTTTTAATGATCCCACACAAACACGCTGTAACTATTAAGCAATAACTAACTCCCCACCCCTCTCTCCACCGCCCTTGGAAGCCATTATTCTGCTTTAGGTCTCAACACATTTGCCTGTTCTACGTATGTCATGTAAGTGGCATCATACAGTGTTTGTCCTTTGTGTCTGGCTTATTTCACTTAGCAGAGTAAAGACTATTCCATTGCATGCACATCTCTCTCCAGCTGGCGTTGGACCCTGGGTTGCCTTCACCTTTTAGTTGTTGTGGATCCTGCTGCTCTGAACATGGTGTAAACGACCTCAGAGACCCGCGTTCAGTTCTTTTGAGTGTGTGCCTAGACGCAGGATTGCTGGGCCACATGGTGATTCGGTGTTTAATGTTTGAGGAGCCACCAGACAGGGTTCCACAGCAGCTGCGCGCTTTACGCTCTCCCAGCAGTGCGCAGTGGCCCCAGCCTCCCGCTCCCCAGCGCCTGCTCTTTTCTGTGCATGTATTTGTGTTTCGCTGTTTTGCTGTTTTTTCTTTTCTTTTAAATCCTCACCCGAAGATATGTTTCTATTGATTTTTAGAGGAAGGGAAAGACAGAGAGGCACACCGATGTGAGAGAAACACATCAGTTGCCTCCTGCACGTGCCCGGCCAGAGCCCTGCCCGGGAGGAGCCTGCAACCGAGGTGTGTGCCCTTGATTAGAATCGAACCTGAGATCCTTTGGTCTGAAGGCCAACGCTCTGTCCACCGAGCCCACCTGGCTAGGGCTGTGGTTACTTTTAAATAACAGGCGCCCTGATGGGCAGGGAGTGATGCTGCATTGTGGTTTTGATGTGCATTTCCCTAACATTCATGATGTTGAGCATCTTTTGTTGCTTATTGGCCGTTTGTCTGTTTTCTTTGGAGAAATGTTTGTTTGAGTTTTTTACCCATTTAAAATCTGTAGTAAGTTTTGAAATTGGGAAGTGTGAGTTCTCAGACTTTGTTCTTATATATTTTTAAAAATATATTTTTATTGATTTCAGAAAGGAAGGGAGAGGGAGGGAGAGAGAGACATCAATGATGAGAGAGAATCATTCATCAGCCGCCTCCTGCACGCCCCACACTGGGGATGGAGCCCACAACCCGGGCCTGTGCCCTGACCGGGGATCGAACCCTGACCTCCTGGTCCATAGCTCGAAGCTCAGCCGCTGAGCCACGCCGCCGGGCGTTCTTAACATTCTTTAAAAAATTTGATTTGAGAGAGAAAGAACATGGATGAGAGAGAAACATCAGCCAGGGACTGAACCACCTGGGCTTGTGCCCGACCAGGCGTCCAACCAGCGGCCTTCCCCCGCGCAGGACAGGACGACGGGCCACCCGAGCCTGCCGGGCAGGACCCACTTCCTGTGAAAGACGGTTTCGCTACTTCGGGCACCTCACATTCCCACAGGGGTTAGGCGACGGCCATTTTCATTTCTGCAAAACAGGCTGTTGGAGTTTTGAGAGGGACCGTGTTGAATCTGTAGATCACTGTAGATATTAGTGTCACCCTAACAATAGCTAGCCTCTTACCCAGGAACTTTAGGAGTCTTCCCCTTTATTGCGATCTTCTTTCATTTCTTTCAGCAATGTTTTGTAGAGTTCAGTGTACAAGTCTTTCATCTTTTTGAATAAATGTATTCCTGGGTATCTTATTGTTTTAGATGCTATTGTAAAATGAAATTGCTTAAAAAATTTTCTTTTTAGACTGTTCTGATTGCATAGAAACTCAAATGATTTCTGTGTGTTGATCGTGTACTACAGCTTTGCTGAATCCGTTTATTAGATCTAGTTGCTTTTCCTGTGGCTCCTTTAGGGTTTCCTATCTATAGAATCATGTCACCTGTGAATAGACATATCCTGCCTTTCCAATGTGAGTGTCTTCTGCTTCTTTTCCTCGCCCCGTTGCTCTGCTGGAGCTTGCGGCACGGCGCGGAAAGGCGGTGGTGATGCAGACATCCTCGTCCTGCTCTTGATTTTAGGGGGAAGCCTTCAGTCCTTCGGCATCGAGTGTGGTGCTAGACATGGGTTTTTAATAAAAGCCCTATATTGTTCCAAGGAAGTTCCCTTCTATTCCTACTTTTTAAAATGTTTTTTATTATGCAACGGTATTGGATTTGGTCTAATGCCTTTTCTGCATCAATTAATAATCCTGTGGGGTTTTTCTTCATTGTCCTATTAATAGGGTATATTTAGTTGATTAATTTTTTTATATTGAGCCAACCTTGCATTCTTGGGATAAATCTCCCTGGCATGGTACAGACTCTTTTTTACATGCTGTTGGATTAGGTTTGCTGGTGTTTAGTTGAGGATTTTCACATCATATGCATAAAGGAGATTCGGCTGTAATGCCTTTTCTTGTGATGTCTTTATCTGGCTTAGGCATTAGGTAATGCTGGTCTCATAGAATTAGTTAGAAACTGTTTTTTCCTCTTGTACTTTTGGAAGAGTTTGAGAAGGATTGGTGTTCATTCTTCTTTAAATGTATGGTAGAGTTTGCCAACAAAGCCATTGGTCTTAGACTATATTATGGTTTTCCGGTTTGCAGATAAATTGAAATAATATAGTGTGTGTGTGTGTGTATGTGTGTGTGTGTGTGTGTGGAGAGAGAGAGAGAGAGAGAGAGAGAGAGAGAGAGAGAGAGAGAGAGAGAAGGAGAGACCAACTTTAAGGAGTTTGCTTACAAGTCCAAAATCTGCAGGACAGGCCCACAGGCCAGAGGCCAGGAGGAGCTGCGTTTTAGCCAATGGGCAATTGCTGGCAGAACCCCCTCTGCCCCTGACGAGGTTGGTCTTCTCTTCTAAGGCCTTCAAATAATGGAATGAGGCCCCTCACACTGCGAAGAGCAATTGACTCAGGCCTATCGGTTTAAAAGTTAATCTCATCTAAAAATACCTTCATAGCCCTGGCCAGTGCTGTTCAGTGGTTAGTGTGCTGTCAACTGATCGATGTTTTGTTCTCACATTGATGTCTCTCTCTCTCTACCTCTCCCTTCCTCTCGCTCTGAAATCAATGAAAAACATATCCTTCAGTGAGGATTAAAATTAAAATAAATAAACAAATAATACCTTTGCAGAAACATCTAGATTCTAGAATAATCTTTGACTAAATACCAGGGTACCTTGGTCTAGATAAGTTGGTACATTAATATATTCATCAAATGGAATTTTTTTTTGTTAGGAGATTTATGGGTTTTTGTGTGTGTGTGGAGTTTATTCATTTATTATTATTATTTTAAAATATATTTTTATTGATTTCAGAGAGGAAGGTAGAGGGAGAGAGAGATAGAAACATCAATGATAGAACCTGTAACCCTGGCATGTGCCCTTGACTGGAATCAAACCCAGGACCCTTTAGTCTGCAGGCCAACGTTCTATCCACTGAGTCAAACCGGCTAGGGCTGGAGTTGTTTTATTTTTATTTTTAAAATTTTCAATTACAGTTTGCATTCAAAATTATTTTGTATTAGTTTCAGGTGTATAGCATAGTGATTAGACAATCATATACTTTAAAAAGGGTACCCCAATATTTCCAGTATCCACTTGGCACCATACAGAATTATTACAATATTATTGAAATATTATTGACTATATTCCCTATGCTATATTTTATATCCCCAGGACTACTTTGTAATTACCAATTTGTACTTTTTTAAAAACTTCTTAATCTCTTTACCTTATTTATCCAATCCCTAATCCCTTTCCCCTCTGGCAACCACCAGTCTGTGCTCAGTGTCTATGAGTCTGTTTCTATACTGTTTGTTAGTATATTTTGTTCTTTAGAGTCCACATATAAGTGAAATCACATGGCATTTATCCTTCTCTGACTGGCTTATTTCACTTAGCATACTGTCCTCAAGGTCCATCCATGTTGTCACAAATGCTAAGATTTCATTTTTTTTATGGCTGAGTAATATTCCATTGTATATATGTGCCACGGCTTTTTTATCCACTCTTCTACTGATGGGCCCTTGGGTTGCTTTCATATCTTGGCTAATGTAAATAATGCTGCAATGAACATAGGGGTGCATATATTTTTTCAAAGTAGTGCTCTAGGTTTCTTCAAATATATACCCAGAAGTGGAATTGCTGGGCCAGAAAGCAGTTCCACATTTAATTTTTTTGAGGAACTGCCATACTGTTTTCCATAGTGGCTGCACCAATCAGCATTCCCACCAACAGTGCACAAGGGTTTTTCCCCTCCACATCCTCACCACACTTGTTGATGTATTGATGTGAAGTGACATCTCATTGTGGCTTTAATTTGCATCTCTCTGATAAGTAGTGACATCAAAAATCTTTTCATGTGTCTACTGACCATCTGTATGTTCTCTCTGGAGAAGTGTCTATTCAGGTCCTCTGCTCATTT